TTTCGCCTTGCAGCCTACAAAGAGGTGGAGGTGGGCCGTTTTGGGGACGGAGGACGCCCCACCCAACTGGCACCCTCACTCCCACGCTCCGAGAATCCTACCTAAAGATAACCTTGCTGGGGAAAGTCCCTAGGCCTCCTCCGAACATAATTGTATTAGCAGCCATTAGTCTTTTTCGGATCTCTCCACCTCAGGGACGCCCTTTGCCCCTCACGCCCAGTTGGACTAATGCTGTTTGTCCACCCCTCCCAGTTCTCACCACCCTCACAGCCAAATTCCTCCCCAACACTGCCTCCCCCATCTCTCCGCAGGCTGGATTCCGGACCCTGAACCCCGCGCTCCACTTGCAGCTATTGTCACCCCCACTGGTCCCTGCCGACTGCTCCTCGGGCTGGACAAACAAAAAACAAACAAACAAAAAAGGTGTCCTCCATAACACTTGGGGGAAAAGTTCACCTCACAAAGAATCAATAAAACTAGAACGAGGACAAGGAGATACCACATTTGCCCATTAAATTAGCAAAGATTGAGGGAAAAACACCCAACGCAGGCAAGAGGGTAGTTAGTAGCTAGAACGCGCGCATATACTACTGCAGGGCATAAACATCGACATAATCTTCCTAAAAACCTCTTAGGAATATAAGATCAAGAATCTCTAGCCCTGGCTGGTGTAGCTCAGTGGATTGAGTGCAGGTCTGTGAACAAGAGAATCGAGGTTCAGTTCCCAGTCAGGGCACATGCCTGGGTTGCAGGCCAGTCCCAGCAGGGGACACACTAGAGGCAACCATACACTGATGTTTTTCTCCCTCTCTCCTTTCCCTCTAAAGATAAATAAATAGATATTTTTTTAAAAAAAGAATCTTTTCCTGCGAACCACACGATCGCAGTTCGATTCCCAGTCAGGGCACATGCCGGAGTTGCAGGCAGGTTCCCAGCAGGGGACGCACAAGAGGCAACCATACATTGATGTTTCTCTCCCTCTCTCCTTCCCCCTTCCCCTCTAAAGATAAATAAATAAAATCTTAAAAATAAATAAATAAATAAAAATTAAAAAAGAATCTTTTTACAGCCCAGGCTGGTGTGGCTCAGTGGATTGAGCACTGGACTATGAAGCACAGGGTCACTGGTTCAATTCCTACTCAGGGTACATGCCTGGGTTGTGGGCCAGGTTCCCCAGTAGGGGGCACCAGAGGCAACCACACATTGATGTTTCTCTCCCTGTCTTTCCCACTCCGTTCCCCTCTGTCTAAAAATAAATAAATAAAATCTTTAAAAAAAAAAAGAAAATATAAAGGTTATATTAAGAAAAAGGATCTCTTACAAATTCCTATTATTTGACCCATCAATCCCACCTCCAGGAAATTGTTCTTCTAAAAAGAGCTGCCAGAAAAACAGGCTTGAAGCCAATCACCACAGTGCTCATCACACAGAGGGCGGGGCTTGGCGACTTAAAGGTCCAACAAGAAGGGAATGTTTAAAATTGTCACCTACGTACAATGGAGTACAGCCATTAGAAATCATTCTTGGGGAATTTCTCTTTTTAGAAAAAAAAAAAACCTTTTCAGGTGTTGTAAATATCAATTTTCGTTGTTCTGCTCGTACGTGCCCTCATTGGTGGATTCTTGCATGTGCCTCAACTGCGGATCAAACCCACAGCCTTGGTGCGTCAGGATAACGCTCTAACCAACTGAGCTACCCAGTCAGGGCTGGAGTATTTCTGACCGAGGAGGCAATGTTTACAATGTAAAGTGAGGTGAAAAATGTGGGTCTGATTGTGTGACACAAATACACAAGAAATAAACACACCAAAATGTTCACAACTACTTATCTGTGAGTGGCAGAATTATGGTTCGTATTAATTTTCTTCTTTATGCTTATCTGCATTTTAAGAGTCTATGATGCATATTCATTACTTTTAAAAATATTTTATTTATTTATTTTTAGAGAGAGGGGACAGGAAGGAGAAAGAGTGGGACAGAAACATCAGTGTGTGGTTGTCTCTCACACACCCCCTACTGGGGACCTGGCCTGCAACCCAGGTATGTGCCCTGACTGGGAATCGAACCAGCGACCCTTTGCTTCACAGGCCTGGGCTCAATCCACTGAGTTACACCAGCCAAGGCCATATTCATTATTTTTATAATCAAGGGAATGGAAAAACAAAGTCTGCAAAAACCTTTCATAGCCTCCGTACACCACCCCCAACAGACTCTCCTGGGTGTTAACCCCAGACTAAATTGGTGTCAGAGCCTTCAGGAATTTAAGGCTGCTGGTTGTTGAGATAATAAAATAAATCTCGAAACTAGAAACCAGGCACCAGGTAACCCTGTAGAATGTCGGCCGTATTCTGATACAATGTAAATTTTGACATAGTTTTAACGGGTGGTATCTTGCATTGGGCCAGTTCTCTTTAGAACTCCCCTTCAATCCAGACCGACCTGCCCATCTACCTACCTAACCAGCCCGTAGTTCGCATTCCCTGCCCTCCACCCCACCCAGGCCGACTGGTTCACTGGCCTCCTCATGCTTCTCCTTGCCCCCACGTGCAGCACACCCTTGGCTCTGCAGCCCTCCCCATTTCCAGATGATTCGGTGCACGACTCTGCTGGGAAGTCTGCCCTGATTACAGCTAAGCATCAGACTTTCCACCTGCACAGCCCCTGCAGGCAGCCCGGCGGGGTGCCATTGTCTGCTGGAACAGATTTGGGAAATGAAGGAATGAGTCATTTCCTACGGCCTCTGGGATCCTCCCCCAGCTCCGAACACAACCTCCTCCCCTCCTGGCCTAATCACCAGTGGTCCCTTTTAAATATCCCTCCATGGACTCCAGCACCCACTGATGGTCCTTCATTCTCCCAGCACCTGCTTCTCTGAGCTCTGGCCTGAGCTCACTTGAGATGTCAGCCTCCTACCCAGGCCAGGCCATTCTCTGCAGGTGTTTGGCTCGGAAGAGATCATCTGCAGCATCAAAAAGATCCTTGTGGGGTGGTGAGGGGCGGAGGGAGGTAGGTGGGGATGGAAGAGGGCAAAGCAGGGATAAATGGTGATGGAAAAAAAATGTTAAATTCTTGGCCAGGACAATCTCTCAAACCATAGTCTGTGCCTAGATCCTTCCAGAACCAGCTCTGATTTCTTGGCTTGTCCCAGCAGCCTTCCCTCCCCCTCAACCTTGCAGTCACCCAGAGTTGCTTATTCATGCAGCTGTGTCCATCTGTATCTGTTTATAAGTCTTCCACAAGTCTTAGCCAAACACTTTGTCGTCCAAGGCCCTTCACGGGCCGGCTCCAGTTTTCCTTTCCTGTCCAACTTTCCCAGCCCTCCCCTCCACGTGCCTCATTTCACTCCCGCCCATCACGTCAGGCCTCCCAGACTTCTCTGAGCGGTGCCTTGTGCCTCCACACCTCCCTTTCCTCATGCTCTTTCCTGTGTCACAATGCCTGTCCCCCATGTCTGCCGTGTCCTGTTCATCCTACAGTCGTTCCCGCCTCGCTTCTGCTACAGAGCTGGTTCATCCGACAGTGAGCTGCGTGAGCCACTGTCTTCCCTGCCGGGCTGGAGCTGAGTTTTTAAACAGCTCTGAATTCTCCAGCACTAGCACTGCGTTCCTGTACTTCGGTTGTTTGAGAATTTCCCCCACCTCTCTGTTGGGTTCTGAAGGCAAGTCCCCATTCTTCATCTCTGCCCCCCTCCCACTCCAGCTGGGACAAGGCTTCGCCCAAGTCCCTTCCACTGGGTGTAAGACAGATCCTGACACCTCTCCTTGGGTCAGGAAACAGGACCAAATTTGTTAGGAAGTGCTGATTCTTTTTTCTCTTAAAATGATTTGGTTCTAAGGGCTGTGGACACCTGAGCTCTAGCCAACTCCGATGATGCTGTTTACTAATAGGGAGACAGTATAGGGATTTGGGCCCGGGGAATGGAAAAATACCAGATGGCCAGGAAGTCAAGTTAAGACCAGGTGGCCAGAACATGTCCAAGCCACCGTTAGGCCTGTGCAGGTGACCCAGGTTTGGCCGCTACACGACCTTCCTGGGGTGGCGGTAATGAGTAGCACCACCACCTTGCCTGCACGGCACAGGCGCCAAGCGACCCAACCGAAGGGAAGAGCAGCCTCACCCTGACATGTTCAATTCCACTCCCGGAAACCCTCGCAAGCCTGCCTTTCCGCACAAGCCCACGAGAGGCTGCCTGGTCCAGCCTGTGAAAGCCGCTGACCCCACCATTCCCGGAAACAGTTCAGGCGACCTGTCTCTGCTCTGGGCTGCCTCCCTTGGGCTTGAGTGTCACCTTAGTAAAATCTGGACATTTCCCTGGGGTTTCCTCTCAAATTCTGTCTTGGGAACTCAAGAACCTCAAAACACTGCGTGGCGACTCAGGTGGGAACCTCTGTGTCCCTGTAGCAACAGGACAGAGCCCAGAGAAGACAAGTCACAGCATCGGCACCGCTGGCAAGTCTGTCCCGACCCCATCCACCTGCCCAACCAGATTTCATTTCCTGGCCGAGTTGTCTTTTTCTCGCGTGTCACTGTTTGCTCTTGTCCTTGTGTCCCTGAAAGTGGGTTCAGCTCCTGCTGTGGTCATACCACTGGGCAGATAGAGTGCTTCCCTCCGTCCACCCTGGGAGTCTCAGGTCAGAGCCCCAAGGTTGGGTCAAAGGCCTGTGGCAGAAGTTCCCTAAACTTGGGCTCGAGTCCGCCACAGATGCTGGTTCCACCCGATGAGACCCACACACTGACCCCCCCCCCTCCGCCGGCTGTTTGCTGGGCTACTCTGTTCAAAACTAAAAACACCAAAATTGGTTTTCTTTTGCAGTGTAGCCAGGCCCCAGTAATGTCCTGGGATCAGGAAGTAGGGACGATGAAGGGACTGATCCCTGAGTGGGCTCTCGGCCCGCACATCAATGACCCCTGGACTGACTGTTCTGGGGTGGCCTTGGCCGGGCGCTCAGCTGACCAGGTGTCACTGACGGGGAATTGCTGAGCAACAGTGCTTTCATTTTACAGGGAGAAAACCGAGTAATTGATACCGAAACTCTATCTGTTATTTGTTGAGCCTGTGTCCCCAACTGGGTTGCAGAATTTTGTTTTTTATTTGAAACTGGTTTTGAATTTGATCTAGAATTTGATCATTTAATTTGGCAAATTAAATCTGAAAGTATTGTATGTTTTGGTGGGGGGAGGGGGGCTGTATGAACGTGTGGGAAGTGAATTATGTTGGTTGTTGATGTTATTTGTTTTACATGATTTGACTTTTAGGAACTTCATTTCCTGGCGACCATAGCGAACTCCTCTGTGAGAGCCTTCTGTCCCGTGGAAGAGGGCACTGCTGTCGCTCTGTGGCCCCCAGAGCACTGCCCAGGGGTCTGGGACCTTCACACACCACTCCTGGGCTTTCAAGGTACAGGGCGAAGCCGCTGGCAAAGGCGGACTGTTGGGGTTGCCCTTGCTTGTGCTGGAGAGGACTCCCCAGGGCCGAGGTCAGAGTCTGTCCCCTGCTCCCTGGGTTCTGGTAGTGAGCTCACCGTTGCGGACCCAGTTCGGTTCCCAGTCAGGGTTTGCGCCATGACTTGTTCACTGCGGCCCCCTGAGAGGGGGAAAGCCCTCTCCTTTGTGTGGTCTGCCCCCGTTGAGAGGCTCAGACATAGGGATAAAGTGGCACCCGAGGCTCCTCCCCTTACGCATCTCCCTCATCTCCACGCCCAAGGCAGCGCCATCCACGCTCTGCTCCATCCCGGCACCAGCTTTTCCTAGGAGCCTGGGCCACCGGACCAGACCGAGCCCGCTCCGCTCACCTCCTGAGCGGTCCCCCTGAACTGCGCACACTCGCTTTCCATTTTCCGTTGTCTGTGTTTGTAGACAAGTCCACCGAAGGGGCCCCCTTGAAGGAGAGGGCGCCAGGCTTCTCAGAGACAAGAGAATACAGTCTATGATTGGATACGATTTTAAACTGGCTTTAAAGAAATTCTGTGGCATGCGAAGCTTTGGTCATCTGAGCATAATCTTAAATAAGTAACAGGCTAACCCAAATATTTTATAAGTTCATGTTGTCTCTGTTGCAAAATGTCAGCAAGGAAAATAGTTCGATACAATAAAATTTTCATAAGTAATCTAAACTTAATTATTAGAAACAAGTAGATTAAATAAATGTAAATGGGATAAAATGTTTCTTTAAAGGTAACTCTTTAGCAACAATTATATTTAATTTAAATGGTTTTATAAATCTCTTTGGTAACTTGAAACTTTAAAGTTTTACTAGCTAAAGTAAATGATGGATATTCATTGAATGTCTAAGCCATTTCCAAATAAGATAAAATAATGAAACATTAATTACTGAAATAGGTTTATCTAGCTTCTGTTTGTTATAGAGAAACTAAATATATTTGGGTCCATTAGTAAACATGTCCTGTGCTACATTTAAAAAAAAAAACAAACCTGTACTATGAAGAAATGTATTTAAAGTTGTACTCAAATATATCAATTTAAAGAACACGAATTGCTTACCTTTTACCTGTCACTAGAAATTGAGTTTCCTAAGAGTTAAGATTTCTAATTAAGAAACTAGTCCTGGCTGGTGTGGCTCAGTGGATTAAGTACTGGCCTACCAACCAAAGGGTCGCTGGTTTGATTCCCAGTCAGGGCACATGCCTGGGTTATGGGCCAGGCTCCTGGTTGGGGGCATGTGAGAGGCAACCACACATTGATGTTTCTCTCCCTCTCTTTCTCCCTCCCTTAACCTCTATCTAAAAGTAAATAAATACACTTTAAAAAGAAGCTAGGTTTTTTAGTGATAGAAAGAATAGGTATGGGAATACATTTTTGAAGGAATTAAAAGAACATGGTTTGTCCTAAAATAAGGTTGTTACTTGACTGCTATGCTGAATGCAGAAGAAAGGACAAACCAAGAGGGACTAAGAAAGTGGTAGAAGGTTTGTAGAAAAGGAATCCTGAGAAAAGAAGAAATTGTATGTGCAGTTTGGTTCTTTTTCAGTCTATTAAAAAGAAAAACATCTTTTCCTGCATTTGGGTTTTTTAAAAATTATTTATTTATTTATCTTGGAGGGGAGGGGAGGGGAGGGGAGGGGAGGGGAGGGGAGGGGAGGGGAGGGGAGGGGAGGGGAGGGGAGGGGGGGAGGGGAGGGGAGGGGAGGGGAGGGGAGGGGAGGGGAGGGGAGGGGAGAAGCAGAGAAATATCAGTGTATGGTTGCTTCTGGTGCATCCCCTGCTGGGAACTGGCCCCTGCTGGTAACTGGCCCCTGCTGGGAATTGGCCTGCAACCCAGGCATGTGCCCTGGCTGGGAACTGAACCAGCGACCTTTTGGTTCACAGGCTGGTATTCAATCCACTGAGCCACACCAGCCAGGGCTCATTTGTCATTCTTGATATCTTAAAATGTTGTGTTGCAGAAAAGCAACATTCTTTGTCAGATGCATTAGAATCAGCTCCGTAACCATGTCGTTTAAAGTTTTGTCATTTGCAGTCATTGTTGACTCTGACGCTTTAGCGCATGTGTCTCATCTCCTCTGCAGAGATCCATGGAGAGGACTCGGGCCTATTGTGAAACTCAGGTTTCCGAGAATTTTTGGGTCGTACCTTTAAACTGGGTGAGGATTGATAGAACACTAAAGAATAACTAGATACATAGAATGCAGGTGACCAGGATAAACAAGAGTTAATTCTGGGGGACTGAATGAACTGAGAATTAGAATTCTTACAGCTTTTCATTGGAAATATTGCTGATTATTAATCTTTCTGTTTTCCAGATAGAAGGAAACCTGTTTTCTCTTAAATTACCGATGGCCTAGAACAGTTTGGTAAATTATACCTTTGTAAGCAACAGTGAAACTGTTAGACTTTTCTCCCCACCCTCATGCCTCTGGAAGTTTGGAGACTCTGAATGAGTGAATATCATGATTTTCTTGGCAATGTGGTTGTTTGCATAAAATCTATAGAAATCTGTTCTCTTTATAAGAGGACACAAGTGGAAACTCTTGATGAGGTTTTGACTGGAATGTCGTGTTTGAAAGAGACAAACATGAGCCCTGGCTGGTGTGGCTCAGTGGATTGGGACCTGGCCTACGAATGGAAAGGTCGCTGGTTCGATTCCCAGTCGGGGTGTGTGCCTGAGTTGCAGGCCAGGTCCCTGGTTGGGGACATGCAACCCATAGATGTTTCTCTTTCTCCCTCCTTCCCCTCCCTAAAAATAAATAAATAAAAAAATTTAAAAAATCCACAAAAGAGATAAACATAGACACCAGATCTCACCAGAACGCTCTGCAGCAGGGGAGTCCAACGCAGGGCCTACAGGCTGCATGAAGCCCAGGTTGGCTGTGAAAGTGGCCCAACACAAGACTGTAAATTTACCTGAAACATTATGAGATCTTTTTGTGATTACGTGTCACAATGTATTTAGTGTGTGGCCCAGAGACACCGAAAGGTTGAACACCGCTGTTCTAAGGAATTAAGATCGCCTTTGGAGGCTGACGAAAGCCACTTGGAAACCGGCAGGTGCCTTGCTCACATGGTTCATAGCAATCTTGCTGGGTAAGAAACAAGGCTGGTTTCTGGAGAGATGGCAAAGGATGAACCTCAAGACATTTTGATAATATAAGAGCAATAACTTTTTTTTTAAAGGACATTTGAGGAGTGTTGAGAACCTGGAGAATTCCCCTACATTGTTAGGGATTACGGGAAAATGCTGATGGCAACTAGTGGCTCATCTTCTTAGCCCTGAGAGGCTAATTAAGCTTCAGTCTGGAGATTTCTTAGGAAAGCTCAGAAAGCAGATTTTAAAAGAGCCTCTTTGATTCATTGTTGTTCTCCTTGTACTTGTGCAAACACCAGGCCAAATTTATTAAAACTAGACTTGTACAATGAATTAGTCTTCACTTGGCTCTCTTTGATAAAATGAGGGTGATTCTAGACAGAAAAACATTATTGTCCTAGGAACCATAATATTCCCTTGTAAATATTCAATTCTAGTGCTGTTCACTATCTTTGTGGGGTTTGGCTTTATTTTCCACTTGTAAACGGCACTAGCTCCCAAATTCTCCTAGTTTCCTCCAATAGCTGCCTGTGGCTCTCCAAATACATTCCCAGTTTTTCTCCCGTCCTTTGTTTTGGAGCCACTGAGAGCAAGCACTCTGTCTTCCTGAGCCTTGTGGTCCAGGCTGCAATGAGACGACATCACGTGAGCTTCGGGGAACTCGCTACAATGGGCTGTCTGGTTAAAGGGACTTCACCCTGAGCATCAGAGGTCAGTAGAACACAACATGGCTGCAACCACTGAGATGAGGGGACTCCAAGGCTGGACAAAACGGTGTCAACAATGAGGACTATCCAGTATAAAGCTATCGGTGTTTTGAAAACAGTTCATTTGGTTGAGCCTGAAGCAAGCAGTCACTCCAAACTGAAAATAAATGCAAAATCTTGCTCAAAAATAAAAAGGACATCCTGACAACCTAAATCGAGTACAGGAAACCATTAAAGCCTGCCCTCGCTTATCTGGTTCCTTCCCCCTTTGGAGACCCCGATGGTCCCACTCCTGCTATTATTGGGTCCTCGCCTCTTTAACCTTCTCATAGAGTCTGCCCCTGCCAGACTGCAGCAGTTCCACCTTAGCTGGTAGTCATGCGAGTTCTCCAGCTCGTTCCAGACAGGAAAGGCCTGGGCCAGACAGTGAGAGAATTTCATTCCTCCCAAGTATAGGGGCAATGTTCTCATTCAGCAGGAAGAAGTTACAGAAGAAGAGACCTCTGGCCCTAATCCCTTTAGAATAAGGAGATAAAATCTCTTTGGTGGTGGTGGGGCAGCGTGTGTGTGTGTGTGTGTGTGTGTGTGTGTGTGTGTGTGTGTGTGCGCGCACATGCGTGCTGGGCGGGGGCAGAATCAGACAGTATAGGGACTAGGGCCCAGGAATGGAAAAACACCAGATGGCCATGAGCCCAGTTAAGAGCAGGCGGCCAGAAAATGTCAAAACCACCGTTCTGTTCCACACAGGCAGTTGATCAAGGCTTGGCCTCTGCGCTGCCCTCCTGGGTGGCGCTGATGAGCAACCACTATCTTGCCCTCACTGCACAGGCCCAGAGATAGTTGCCAAGCAACCGGAAAGGAGGAGGAAGTAACCCCACCCCGTTGGGTTCAGTTCTGCTTCCTGAACACTTGACAAGCCCACCTTTTCCTGCAAGCCCACCTTTCTGTCCACACAGGCCCACCCTGTCCCCATCGTACAAAAGCAGCAGAGCAGAGCCAGGCCCTGAGGCAGCTCAGCGGATCTTTGCTCCGGGCTGCTTCCCCTGTGCTTGAGCATAACCTTACTACTTAAAACCTGTTTGAAAATGTCTCCGGGGTTTCCTCTCAATTTCTATCTTGGGGAACCCAAGAACCCCAACGCCATTCACAATAGGAGGATCTCCTTTCTGTGCTTCCGTTCACTTGCCTCTAAAATGGGAATGTCACCTACATGCTTTACCTACTCCACCAGGACCCGGAACCCAAATGCCATGATGACGTTAGAACCGCCCCAGGGAAGGCACAGGAGCTGCAGACGGGAGGCAGGTCCCTGGCATCAGGATGGCGCACACGTCCCAGCAGGTCTGTGCAATGAGGTCAGGTGAGAGTTCAGAGTTCCCTTGCTCATCTTAGTCATGGAAAAAAGCTGGGGAGCTGCAGAAGTTTGGAGAGGTGTCAGCTCACAAAGGAACAAGCTCCAACAAGTCAGGGGCTTCTCTGACAAAGTTAGTGCCACTGTTACTAAGCTCGTTCATTTGCCTGTCTTTTTGCTAAGCTTTATGACCTTGACCAAGTGACTTAACCCTCAGCTCTGTTAACCGGTCTATAAATGGGGGACAAGAGCATTCAGCTTGAAGTTACCGTGAGAATTAAGGGATATGAGCCCCATAAATTGTCCAGCACCATTCCTGACAGCCCCTCACTATGAACGGTGCAGAGGACACAGCACAGTGCTGGCCTAGGTGTAAGCTACTAATAGTGTAGGTAGGTTGGAGCAGGCATTACTGAAACCTGCTAGCCAAGATTCCAAGACAGTCCCGGTTTCAAAGGCACTCTGCTGTTTCCTCCTAAGTCAGCAAGCACCGGTCTGTCTTGATGGGGAAAACGTGATTGCCCTGGATGGCGCCCCAGTGGCTGCCTGTTTCTCTGGCAGCCCCGAGAGGGAGGCTGGGCTCCGGGCCCAGAGTGGCTCCATTGGATCCCCAGATACGCAGCTGCAAGGCGGTGGGGAGGAGGGTGGGGGGGGGGGGGGGGGGGGCTTGGGCTCCTGGCGGGCGGGGGACCTAGGTTGCACCACCCCCTTTCTCAGCCCCCACGGCCGCTGCCACTGCACAACTCCAGCTGTAAAAGGAAAGAGAAAGTGAAATCTTTTGAGCTCAGTGCTTCCCTACCTAGTGTTATAATCACTGCAGGAAACTCGAAAATCTTCACGGCTGGATGGCATTCCAGACCAATTCAATCAGCATTTTCTTCTCTTTATCTTTTCTTTTTTTTTTTAAACACCTCTTTAACTGAATTCCAATGTATACAAAACTGCTCTGGATCAGGGTTATTCAAACTTGTCAGATGACCCTAATCACCTCCATTAGTTTAAAATGCAGTTGCTCGGCCTCTGGAATGAGCCCTGGCACCAGAACTTACTGATTCTAAAACAGGCCTTTCTGAAAACATGTAGGGTATCTGAGCATCTCAGAAATCAGGTGATCTTCCAATCAGTGTGGCACCTGTTTTGAGGAAGCACACGCACCTTCCAGGCCACGATGACGTCAGGCAGCTGGAAGAGAAACAAGTCCCCAGGGCAGTGCTTCCCAGCCTCCAGGTCCTTGGAGTTGCCCACGATGCCATTAACCTCCCGGGTTCTGAGTGAGAGGGCCTGGGTTAAGTAAGGCCGAGGTTCCACGTTCCTGACAATCTCCCAGGTGACCTGTGCTGGGCCTTGCACCGTGTTTGGGTAGCAAAGTCCTAAAGTATCTCCTTCCGAGGAGGCTCCCCATTCTCACGTCTCCCCAGGAAGCAACAGCTGGCCCGAGGGCCAGACGGAGGGTTGCCCCAACCGTTGAGAAGCCAGCAGCAGGGCCCAGTCTCCCTGCCATGCACCCCTTTTCCTGCTTTCCTCCTTCCCCAAACCTTTCCTGAGGACCCAGGAGGAATTCGGTGTGGGGGAATCTAGGTGTAAGCAAGTATGATGTGAAGTGAGGGCTGATGACTGCGGCGTGTACTAGAGATGAGCCAACAGGAGTGAAGCTAAGAGCTTCCTGCAGGAGCTGGGAGAAACACTTCTAATCTTCCCAAGTGAGGGCAGTGCCCCAAGCGAGCACTCCTGGCCAGGCCCACCCGCTGGGATGGAGGAGTGGGCTCGGACCCCTTGAAACCAAGACCCTAGAATCTGGACTCTGAGTGAGCTTTCTGCGTTGGTGCCTCTGACATCCAGCACTGTGAAGCACGTGAGTCTGGGAAGGAGACTTTTAGGGGGTCAGCCCCTCCAAAGGAGGGGCAGCAGTTATCCTGTTCCAGAGGTCCGGTGCCTATACCCTGTCTTCCTGTGTCAGAATGCAGCAGAGTCACAGACACACTCGAGTCTCTGTTCTTTGTCATACTGAGCTCTTAATCGGCTTGGCCCGTCACATCGCTGGATGCAAAGGCTACAATCCCCAGACTAAGTAGGTCTCCAGCTGGGGTAGGAGTCTCAGCCAAGGCAGGGAGGGAACAAGATCTGGAGGCTGCTCCTTCACCCGGCCCCCTGCAAACCAGCTTTTTGGGCCTGAGAAACTGATGCACAAGCCCGATTTACTTTTCCTTTTCCTTTCTTCTCACAGATAGGAAACCCTAGAGGAGAGGCGGAAGGGCCCGGGGGAAGCAGCCCAGGAGGGGACAGCAGAAAGATGGGGAGTGGAGTCAGCGCCGAGGACAAGGAGCTGGCCAAGCGGTCCAAGGAGCTGGAAAGGAAGCTGCAGGAGGACGCCGACAAGGAGGCCAAGACCGTGAAGCTGCTGCTGCTGGGTGAGCGGGATGGGGAGAGGAGCCCAGGTAGGAGCCAGCCCTGCTCCTTCCTGCCTGTCCCGGATGGAGATGGGTTCCACCCAACCCACAGGGAGGCAGGAGCCTGGGCCTCGTGTCCTCTCCCCACCCAGTCTCATGCTAGGGTATCAGGAGCTCTAGGACTGCGCCCAGCCACCCCGTCCAGATGCAGAATGCCAAAGCTACTCTGGCACTGTTCTGCTAGTCCTTGAACCACGTGGGCCAGGATGGACCCACCCATCTCCAAATAGAACCAGAGCCAACAAACACCTCATGGCTTGGCAAATACCAGGAACCCTGGGCTTTCAGACAGCAACCCAATCTGCAGTCAGAGAATTGCGTCAAGGCCTCAGAAGAGGAGGTTGGATGCAGAAGGTCTAGCATATAGCGTAGATAATCAGCGTCATGTACTCCCAGGGACAGGCCAGCCTGCCAGGCACACTGGTTCCTCCTGACCGGGGAGGAAGGGTGTCTGCAGCGAGAGCAGTGCTCTCCTGGCTTCCTGTCCGGTAGCCACCTCTAAAGCCACGCCAGGCCAGACGGGAGGGAGCATCCGACACCTGATGAGCTCCTAAGCGGATCAGGGGGGCGGGATGAAAAAAGCACAGCACCTCAGTGATCAGTCAGAGAAACCGAGTGTTGGACACCTGGCTTAGAAAAGCCCCAACGGCAGTGCAGAGGGATCGGTGTGACGGCCTGGCTGGGCGGGGTGTGCACGCCCAGAGCAGCCTGGGAACAGGCGCCAGCTGTCCTCCTCCCCTCCCGCCCACCCCACCAGCCACCACGTGGCACAGCCCCAGGGACACACTAAAGGGGCACGCCTCTCAAGGCAGGACCCAGACTCCAGGGAGTCAGGAGGCTGCCGAAGGGGGAGGAGACGCTAGGCCACTAAGAGAGCTTTTAAGCCTAAGCAGCTTTCTTCGACATTCAGGATAAGCAGTTTAGGGCGAGGGGGGAGGGGTGAAGGCATGGGGGTGGGCGTGTAGACTAGGGGAGAGGGCCCAAGGGTAGGTGGTGTTGATGGAGGGACAGCGGAGTGTGAAGGATATTAGGGCATTTTAGTCAATAAAGGAGACAGAATGAGGGTGGAAAAACAGTAGTTTAGTGGAGACCCAGCTCTCTCCACTCCTGCTCCAAGCCCACGCTCCTGAGCACAACGGGCGGAGGGGAGAGATGTGTCCAAGGAATCCCCCCCCCACCATTCGTTCAGTGGTTCTCAGTGGATTGTGCCCCCACCCACGGGGACGTCTGGAAGCATCTTTGGCCGTCAGGACCGCAAGCATGGAGCACAGCCGACTTCTTGGGAGTGGGGGCCAGGAACGAAGCTCTGCGCCCTCCACTGGGCAGGATGGCAACGCCCCCCCACCCCCCACCCCCCCCATCCCCGCCCAAAGGATCATCCAGCCCAAAATGCTGGGAGTGAGAGGTGGAAACTCTGCTGGAGGTCCAGAGCAAAGGGCCTGGGCTCGAGGCCAGCGGCAAAGCAGAGCTGCCATCACTCCTGGGCGGTGCCTCACGTGGCGCCTGGCGAGCACGGCCACCTGGGGGGGAGGAGCAGGGAATGGGGGCAAACCCAGAGCCTGAGCCTTTCTCCCGGCAGGTGCTGGGGAATCAGGAAAGAGCACCATCGTCAAGCAGATGAAGTGAGTAGGAACCAAGCCCCGCAGGGCCAGGGCGGGGCCCAGAGGAGGAAGGGCTCCGGGCTGGAAAGCCGGATGTGAAGGGTGGAAAGGACCCGGTGCCCCTCCCCTGCGCATCCCTCGCCCCCTGACTCTCCACCTCAGGGCAGCAGTAGGAATAGATCTAGTGCTTGTGACGCTTCGCCTCCCCCCACACTCCCGGCTCCTGCTGTCCGGCTGCCCGGGGCGGCTAAGGGGCGGGTGTGTGCCCGCAGGATCATCCACCAGGACGGCTACTCGCCAGAGGAGTGCCTGGAGTACAAGTCCGTCATCTACGGCAACGTGCTGCAGTCCATGCTGGCCGTCGTCCGGGCCATGTCTGCCCTGGGCATTGACTACGCCGAGCCCAGCCGTGCGGTGCGTGCTTAACGGCATGTGGTTAAGGGTAGATGGTAAGAAAGGCAAATGAGAAATGGACCAGAGCGTGGTCCCGATACACCAAGGTCGTGGGCTCAATCCCTAGTCAGGGCACATACAAAATGAACCAATGAGTGCATCAGTGCTGATGGGTCCCTATGCACCATCTCATCTGCTTCGCGGGCAGTCTGGTCTTTAAACATCCAGTGTCCCCGAGCAGAGGACCAAGTTCTGTGGCAGCGTGCTGCAAGCAGCTCAGCCTGCAAGGATAGAGGATAGAAGGTGGGGACACCCGAGGAAAGCCCAGGACTGGATAGATCGCCACCCTCCACCTCTCAAGCCCACTCAGAAATCAGTGAGCGCGCTTTCTGAGACAGAACCTTTGCCACCCGCCGGCCCAGCCCAGGCTGCTGTGGGAGCAACGCCAATGCTTCCCTTGCAGCAGGACCCCTGCCCGGCCCTCAGCCAGCTTTCTGCCTTACAGGATGATGGGCGGCAGCTCGGCCACCTGGCCGACTCCGTCGAGGAGGGCACCATGCCCCCTGAGCTGGTGGCGGTCATCGGGAGGCTGTGGCGGGACGGCGGGGTGCAAGCCTGCGTCGACAGAGCGGCGGAGTACCAGCTCAACGACTCGGCCTCTTAGTGAGACTGGCTGGGGTGGGCGGGAGGAGGTGCGGGCCGCCTTCCGGGAGAAACTCCCGGGCACTGAGTGCGGCCCGTGCCCCTGCTGGTTGGGCTCCTGCAGGGTTTCACTGCGTGTGGCGCGTGATGCCTTTAAATCGGGATGCGGGCCACTCTGCATCCTACGAAGCTTAAGGCCCAAAATTCAAACCAGAGGTGCTCTGTGTAGCAGCCCTCAGCCGTCCCCTAAGTCACACACGTCACCTGCCACCGCTCCCTTCAGAACCGCGGCCGCTAGGACGGCCGGCCCTGCAGTCTGCCACCCTCTCCTGGAAGGCCCTGGTGCGCCATGGCCCTTGGAGGGCTGAGTTTTCTAGCTGGTAACCCACACTCTACTTAGGCCACTAACCAGAAATGATGACAGTCCCCTTCGCTCATTCTGTCTGCGTCCCCGGGTGCCAGGGTGTGGGATACAGAAATCACCAGGGCAAACCAAAGGTAGCTGTCAGAGATTGAAGGAAACAACTGTGCAAAGCTGGTTCCAAAAAAATGAGGCGCAGAGTGTGTCCATCAAGCTGACCTCACACAGCGAAACGCTGTAGACAGACAGGCGTGAGCCCCACAATCTAAGACACACCCCGGCTCAGCCCTTGTCCTGTCATCTAGTCTGGTGACACAGTGCCCTGACTGTCCCCAGGGCCCTCCCTCGGAGGCCCCGGCGCTGCCGGCTGTGCTGGGCGCACCATCTCATTTCATCTGAAGAAGCTTTCAAGGCAGACAGGACTCCTCACTAGTCCCATTTACAGATGGAAACGGAGCTTCGGAGACGTTAACTAACTTCCAGCATAACTGATATGCTCCAAGTCATGTAAATAAATGGCCGATTTGAAATCAGGCTGGATTTGAAGTCAGGTTTACTTGCCCACAGAGTGTTTTTTTTTTTTTTTAAACCACAATATACCACAGTGCCTCTCAACCCTGAACAAGCCATTTAACCCCTCTAAATCTGTAACGTGGGACATGATCTGAGGCTCACGAAAGCAGGAGAGAGTGTAAACACGGAGGTGCCTCGCGCACAATAGGCACCTCTCTGACCCCCCCCCCCACCGCTTTCTCTCAGCGCCTTCACTGCACATCCGTCCTCCTCCACCTTCTTTTCTAACCTGTTTTATATGGTAACTCAAACACATACAAAAGTAGAATCCAACAAATCACCTGGCTTCAACCGTTACCAACGAGTGGCCACTCTCTTCATCTTCACCCCCGACTGGGTTATGTTGAAGGAAATCCCAGATATTCTATGATCTCACCCTCAAAATTTCATCACGTAACTCTAAAAATGACTTTTTAAGAGAGAAATCACTATGTAATTACTATACCTAAATATTTAATAATTCTCTAATGTCACGAAATATCCAAGTTTCCCCATCACATGGAAAGTTTTCCCCCAACTTGATTCAGGGTGTAAACGCGGTCCACGCGCCACACTGGTTCCTGTCCTGTGTCCCTGCAGTCTCTCTTCACCCAACTCCTAATTTGGGGTGGAACTTTCAGCACCCATCGCAACCACCAAATCTCATGTGAGGGTCCAGGAAACCCTGTAGTCAGGGGAAATGCAAGGACGTCACCTGACTCGACTCACAGGGCAGGACCCAGCCGCAGAAGGGCCCTGAGTCCCGGGACTGAGCCCAGGACCCACACCTCCTTCTGTGAGGACACACGAGGGTTTGTGGGGACGAGCCTTAGACTGAACAGTATGGATTCTAGCCCTGGTTCTGTCATGTAAGGTTGTATGCCTGTGGGTGAGGTTCTTTACTTTTCTTGGCCTTGGCCATGGAAAATCTAGTATCATCCATGCTGATGACTTTTCTCAGCTATCTGAACCAACTAGACCGGATTACGGCCCCCGACTACCTCCCCAGTGAGCAAGACGTGCTGCGGTCCAGAGTCAAAACTACGGGCATCGTTGAGACCAAGTTTTGCGTCAAAGACCTGAACTTCAGGTGAGTATGAGGTCTGCTGAAGGTGCCACAGAAACACACACAGTTCCCCGGGGGCCTGGGCGTGCTTCCTGACCTTCACCAAAGCCCAGTTTGCATTCGCGTCCTCCGCGCCCTGGACACGTAGTTCCCATCTTATGGCCAACTGGCCCCACAGGAGCCGCCTTCATGCGTGCAAATGCCACATGCATGTGGTCATAAGCTGGTCATACCTATGGGGACAGTCATTTCTCCCCTCAGGATGTTTGATGTGGGGGGGCAGCGATCAGAGCGAAAGAAGTGGATCCACTGCTTCGAGGGAGTCACCTGCATCATCTTCTGCGCGGCCCTCAGCGCCTATGACATGGTGTTGGTGGAAGATGACGAAGTGGTGAGTGGGCAGCTTTGGCTCCGAGCAACCCTGAAGGACGGTTCCCCCATGACCCTCCAGCTGTGAGAGTCATTCCAGCGCCCCGCCCCCCGGTGATTTCAGCCAACCACGACCCTCTACCCATCTTCTAACAGACCAATCAGTACCACAGGCAAATAACAGTAGAAAAACCTCTCCTGCCAGTTCCAGGCTCTAGGCCAGCACTTTGGAGCTTCAGATTCACTGAGCAAGCCTGGTCCCAGAGCAGACATCCAAGTAGCACGTGGCTGGCTTGTGCTCATGGAAGGGGCTGCATATTAAAGGGACAGGGATCCACTGGGCAAAGCAGAGGAGCTGCGCTCAGCACTCTCCCAGGGCGCCCGTGGAAGTGAGGGGCAGAGTGAGGACGGCAGAACGGGATTCTGTGCACCTTCACACACACGACAGCGGGGCTGAAGCACAAACCTCACTTAGAAGCCTAGATAAGTACCGAGTGCACACAGGACTGAGACACAGCACACACACCTCGAGTGTCACACGCCACTCGAACAGGCAGCCAGATGGTCACCTGAGGGTGGTTCTCTGGGGCCTGTAGTTTTAGAAGACAGGAGCTCTGCAGGACAAGTGTTGGCCCAACGGTTCCCTCCTGAGTTGGAGACAGAGGAGGTCAAAGGCAAGGGTAACGCTGACTTCACGCCAGCATCTGCTCCTCGAATGGAGGCCCAGAGCTGACGGGCAGGAGACAAAGTTCCTGCCCTCCCACCCCTTGCTCCAGTTTTTCTCCCTTCTCCTTAATAGTTCAAGTTCACATCAGAGCACTCTAAGTACCTTCTAGCCAAAATGTCTCACAGGGCCCCTCATTTTCCAAGATCTCTTCAGGCCTCCGAGGTCTTCACGGGCTTCCCAGGAGTTATTAGCAATGACAAAAGGCTGCAGTTTAGCTTTTCTCTATCAGATGAAAAGAGTGAAATCAGCTAAGAGCACACATACTTCAAGACCCCACAGGCCTGCTCTCCAAGACTAGGCTGGCCTGGGGCATGGGGCAGCCTCTGTGCCCTGCAAACACATAGCGGCCTCTCCCCCACTCACAGTAGTGAGAGAAGGAAACAGGGCAGAAGAGCCCGTGTGTGGCCCCGGGAAGTCCTCCAGCCCTCACCGTTGGGCACCGGGGTCTAAGAATCCGCAGTGTGTTCCTGCCCACACTGAGACCCAGGGCCCTGTGACAGAAGCCTCTTCAAATCATCCTGGAGACACAGGTCAGCACATGCTACCTCGGGCCCAGATTCCACCCTGTGTCAGGAGCACTCGTGGATGTCAAAACCCTCAGCTGTGCCCTGGCCGCCGAAGCCCTCCCTGCATAACATTCTTGACCTTCGCAGCCAGGAACATTCTCCATACGTGACCTCATTTAACTTGCATAAACCTTACGAGATAGGGGGAACAGACTCCGAAAACTCGATGAATTTTTCCCCAGCCACACAGCCATGATAGGAAGATGAGAAGCCAGGTTTCTCTAGCCGAACAAAAAAGCGGGAAGCCGTTCCCTCCTCTTGCCCTCACATTCGGAGCAGCAGTTTCTGCAGAGGGGAGGCGGCCAGATGCACCCCCACACCCGGCCTGACGCCTCTGCTGGCTTCCCTCTTCCCAGAACCGCATGCATGAGTCGCTGCACCTGTTCAACAGCATATGCAACCACAGGTTCTTCGCGGCCACTTCCATCGTCCTCTTTCTCAACAAGAAGGACCTCTTTGAGGAAAAAATCAAGAAAGTCCACCTCAGCATCTGTTTTCCGGAGTATGATGGTAAGCGAGTGTCCAGGGCTGGAGACAAGGGTGATGAGGTCCCAGTCCCGACTGCTGAGGGCCTCGTTTCCTGGGCCCAGGAGACAAACAGGGATGGTCTTTGAGGAGGGAAAGCCCTACCCTGCCACGTTGGTGATCCCTTATCCTGTCAGTACTCCTTCCTCTCGGGAGGTTTGCCACATCCAAGTGACACCTGGACATCTCATCTGGGAAACGTGGGCATTCAGCCAGAGGTCCGAGTTCCAATGGCTCTGGAGCAGAAGCCACGTTAGACGCAGGAGGGCCCCCTGCTATTCAGATGGTAGCTGCCAGCAGCCAGGGGTGGAGACGCAGACACCTCTCTGCTCAGTGTCTCCGCTCAACTCCAGTGGGACACACAGGAGAGCAGTACAGGGGAGGACCCTTCTCCCGCCGAGGGGCCCCCGGCCGCAGCTAGCACAGCGCCATGCGGGTCAAGGCAGCCACCTAAAAAGTAAGTGAGCAACCGAGGGGCGTTCATTTGCCCCACTCCTTCACTGTTTTTCTGGAAAACCAGGAAACAACTCTTACGAAGATGCAGGGAGTTACATCAAGAGTCAGTTCCTTGACCTCAACATGCGAAAAGACGTCAAAGAGATCTACAGTCACATGACCTGCGCCACAGACACGCAGAATGTCAAGTTCGTGTTCGACGCAGTCACAGACATCATCATCAAAGAGAACCTCAAGGACTGCGGGCTCTTCTGACTGCCACTGCTTTTCAAGTGTGTGCTCTCCTAACGGGACTGGAGTCTGGGTGCTGTCCAGGGGGATATCACGGGTCACAGCACCGTGCCCTGGGGCACGAGTGCCTCATCCCCTGGAAATGGGGTGAGCATGGCCAGGACTGCCTTCCCACCCTGTGCTCAGAGCAGGGCGGCCGGTGCAGTTTAAAGAGCCCAAGGCCAGGAGTTGGAACACCCAGGTTCCAGTACTGGTTCTGCAATTTACCACAAAGTGTAAAGACACCCTTTGTCTGAGTGAGTCCCTCATCTCTGAAACGAAGGTCATTCACTTCTCTGCTGCATCACGGGGTTACTCTGGTGGTCACAAACATAACCCAAGGGAAGGTGCAGAAAGGCTGTGTCACTAGTCACAGACAGAAACCCTGCATCACAGCTGCCATCTAGGGAAAGCAACGCCAGCTTTCCAGATGAACTATCCCAAGCAAAACGGGAAATGACAACAACAACAACAAACCCACAAGCTAAGGCACATAGAGACCTGTTAGTGGCAGGTTTACTGAGAGATCTGGATCGCCGGACAGGTGACTTAGTTCCCATGGCACATACCTAAAAACAATCATCTTTATTAAGGGTAGGCTACCCCTCCTCCCTCCTCCAACCTGCTAGAGAGACAAAGTTTCCTTTAGCTCTAAGTAACTGTTTCGCAGCTACACAAGCCACTTTCTGAATAAACTAAGAGCATACTAACACATTCGCACTCTGAGTACTAATGATGTTTTATAGCTGCTACTTCTCCCTCACAGAATTTGGAATAAGAGAGCAACCCTAAAATTCTCATTTCAACTGCTACCTGTTTCGGAACAAAACAGGCAGCTGATCTTGCTTTAGGCAATAAAAACCTGTGTGGTTGGGTGGACTCCTGTGAGGCCTGGCTGAAAACATCTTCCCAAACAGACCAAGTAAATCACTGGCTTCTCACTCCTGGGAGGGGAAAGGAAGCTGGCTTTGCATTTATCTTCACAGGAGGCGGTGAAGTCTCTTACGGATTTAGCATTTACAACTACTAGTGAGGAAGGCTCCTGGCATCAAGATTTAGTCTATAAAAGAATGTGTCAGTTAAAATGAAAATACTCTCCTTGCCAGAAGCACACTCTCCCGCTTACGCGGCTACTAGCCACAGTGATACCAGAGAGCCATATGAGCCTGGAGTGCACCGAGGAAAAAACCTGGTGCTGTTAAAATCGGATTCGTTTGAGAGTCTGACTCCTAGAAAAGAAACCAACTTGGGAGGATTAGCAGAGAATTAAGGGAAACTACTCTGCCTACTGTCGATGAACCAACTTCAGTCAAAGAAAAAGCCAGGGTAAGACGTCTTGTCTTGCACCCGCAAGCTGAGCAGGAACTTTTCTAAGCAGCTTTAACTTTGACTCACTTTTTCTTCTTTTTTAAAAGTTTTTATTTATTTTTAGAGAGGGAGGGAGGAAAAGAGGGAGAGAAACAACTTACACGCCCCTACTGGGGACCTGGCCCACAACCCAGGCATGTGCCCTGACTGGGGATTGAACCAGTGACCCTTTGGTTCGCAGGCCGACACTCAGTCCACTGAGCTACACCAGCCAGGCCTCTCACTTTCTTCTGAGTCTCCCCCCACCTGCCAAATACAAGGGAAAGTTTTAGAAAGTCACAGAGGTAGAAGTGAGCCAGTGGGCTATGTGGGCCCAGGAAACAAGTACGGAGGCAAAAGAAGGATCCTTGGAATTTCAATGGTTTGTGCCTAGGAAATGAAAGGGAGAAAGATGTAGGGGAGGGGTGCTCCAGAGAAAGGGGGAGGGAAGGGGGGAAGAGAGAGAACCCTTTTTATTTTTTTATGGATCCTTTGGCAGTCTGATGAAACCTCTAGGCCTCTTCTCAGAATACTTAAGAACGCCTGAAATAAGCTGAGAATCATGCAGAACACCAGCACACCAGATGCAGTTCATCCAGGCAGCTCTGAAGCACCAGGTCAGAATCCTCACCAGAGCTGTGGCCGTGCCTACACAGGCCCCCAACGCAACTATCCCACTCAATCCGCCTTCACACAGATTGAGCCACACCTCCCCACACTCACACCACGCTTTCCTTCCTTCCTTTCCGAGCTTTTCCTTGACCTCTGACTCCAGGAAGGAGTTTGTTATGGGCCATACTATGGAGGCCAACCCCAGGACCCCAGGTTACTAGTGTTTCTGCAGAACCTGCCCTAAGCACGGGCATGAAAAGTCAGCGACACAGGTGTTCTGGAAGAACAACGTCTAGCAGAATGAAACGGTCTAGTTTAACTGTCCCCCTTTTCTCTGGTTGATGTCCCAACTTTTAACTGGTTTATAACAGTCACACGAGCCACCGTGCATGCACACCCCACAAGTTTACTCTGGAGGTGGAAGCGGCAGCGCCCAGGGCAACTGTGTTCTACGGCTGTGTTAGGATCTGTTTACTCGTCTGACAATGCTCTCAACTAGAACTCTTTGAGCAAGTCTACACAGGATAAAACTTTTGGACCTTGGTCCTCCATTCCTTTGCACCCTAGAACGGTGCCAAAATCATCGCTGGAACTCTCGGCTAACACGGGGCTCGCCTCTGGGTACAAAGGTGAATACTGCAGACAGGCTTCCCTGACAGGCAGTAATCCTTCCCCAGCTTGGTTGTCAGGCCTCCAGGTGCTTCCCTAACTACACCAGAGCACACTCCTAGTGTACACCCAACTGGTTTATTTTTTTCTCATGGGTTTTTTGATTAGCGCACACGAGAAGTTCTCGTTGCATGGAATAGCGGCTAGAAAGCTGAAAACCAACACCGAGCCACGTACTCTGCTGTCTTGGCCTCCCTTTGCTCTCTTTTACATTTACACTGCACTGTTAGTTTTAAGTACTGTCATAAGTGATCAGAAATTCCTTTTTTGTTACAAAGTAGGTCAAAAAGAAATTTTCAACCCTGTTTTCACAAACTGCAACCTTAAGCATTCTAGGCCCATCACTAGCAATTTATAGCTAGGAAACTATAAGAAACTAAGGCCCAGGGAGGTGGAGTCTTTGTGAAGATCACGCGGCCAGGAGTTAGCAGAGAGAACTTCAGAACTCGTCTCCTGAATCCAAAGCCGTCGACCCTCCTCTGTGCACCGGGCTACCCACCCACAGCTCAGTCTCCACTGTAAAAAGTCAAAGTGAGAGTTCTCCTCCTCCTCTGCTCCCCCCACTCCCAACCACATTCTTGGTTATTTATTGTGCCATCTCTAAATCAGAGGTATTTAACATAACCATCTCCAAACTAAATACCAATCAGTCTCAAATGGAATACAAAATTAACATAAAAGGACAATAAGAAAGGCTGTCTATTGGAGGTGTCACTTTTTGTTCATGTCCTTAGAGGGCCCATCTCCACCCCTGCCTCTCCTGCACTGCGGGATTCCACACTGGTGATGGGCGCACCCAATGGAAACTAGGTTCTGAGGCTCCTGTACACCCGATGAAATTCCTTACCCTCCCCCACACAAAAAAATACAGAATGACTGACACAAAAGGACACACATCCTGTGATTCCACTTACAGGAGGGAGAATGACGGTTACCGGGGGCTGGGCGGAGAGGGAGTCGGTGTTTCCAGGGACAGAGCTCTGGGCTGGGAAGGTGGAAAGTTCTGGAGATGGATGGTGATGTTGGTGGTGCAACAATATAGTTAATGCCAGTTAATTATTTTAAAATAATTTAAATGGTAAGTTTGATGTTCTGTATATTTGACCACAATAAAACAACGGGAAAGCGTACACGGCAACTGGAATGTGCTTTTATGTTTCTGTGGAGGACTGGATGAGAGCGGCAACAAATTCAGGGTTAAAAGCAAAGTTAAAGACTTTCACGTGCAACGAGTCCTAGTCTGATAAAAACAATGCATCCACACAGAGCCCAAACAGTCCAATCAGGGCGGCTCCATCCCTACGGTGAGAAGTAACAGCACTGGAAGCCCAGTCTATACTTGCTGATGTGCTGGGTGGAGAAGGTGGTGAAGCTGGGAGAGCCCCTGGCAACCCCTGCCCTCTTGACCCCGCACAGCCCCCTCCCACCCCAGGCAAGGATTCCAGCAGGACTTCAGGGTCGGGTGGGGACTGCCAGTGTGCCGGAGCCTCTGGGGTCCTGCTAGGTCAAAGCATGAAGACATTTCACAGGGGTCAAACAGCAGAAGGGACCTTTCTGCCTTTTGGTCACGAAAAAGTGCTAATAGGAAAATAAAAAACTGGACTTAAATGCAAAATAAAGATCTTTTGCCTGCTCTACATATAGTTGAAGTTTGTTTCAGGTCTTCGAAATGAACATGGGGAGCGGTGCCTGAGGGTCTGACTGCCCCGATGCCTCCCGTGTAGTGCGGTGCTGGCCTGAGAACCAGGAATACTTACAGAGCACTTGCAAACGTGACTTCTATTTGATGAGAACCACGGAACTTTGCAGTTGGAGGATGTAACTAAGCCTGCCTTTAGTTAACAGAACAGGGATGTAAGATGAAAGATCCCACAGCCAGCTGAATGCAGGGAAAAGGCAGAGCCCAGCACACCAAACAACCCTCCAGCCTCCTAAGGTTCCGAGGTCTCAGGACCTTCATCCCACATGAGCAAGAATGAACAGGTATAACACGTAGCTTCTTGCGATTTGTCTACTGGAATCTCTTGCACAAGGAATATGCGGGAGGGTAGTAGTAGAGGTTGGGACAGCGATTTTCAATGGCTGTGCCACAGGAATTTTTAAACCACGTAATATCTGACTGTTTAGTCAGGGTACTGACCTGTTTTCCCATCGGTGTCAAATTAAAAAACGACAACACCAAGACAATAGCCCTCCGGTGTGAAGGAATCAAAATGATCACTATTTGTTTTTGTCAGATTGGAGAAAATATTTTTTGGTGTGCCGCAGAATTTTAATAATTAGTTCGTGTGTGCCAGAAGATGAAAAAGGCTGAAAATCGCTGGGCCAGGAGGTAGAAAATCAAGCTGTACAAAACCTAACATCCCTGCTCTCAGAGCTGGAGCACAGCGAGGGCCAGTGCACTGAGATGGTGCGTCCGGCCGAGCACTGGTACTGCGCCTGCTGCTCCAGGACCCCCCTGGACTCCAGGCAGAGACCTCAGCACTGGGTGTACAGACCCTTTCACACCCGTCTCGGCCACTCCCCTCACTGACGACTCCCCGAGCCCTCCCGAAGACTTCCTCTCCCCGGTTCAGGCCCACAAGCTTTGCTCTGTTCCCACCGATGGTATGTGCGTGGTTTTACACAAGGTAGTGCCCCCATGGGCTATATTATCTTTGCTTTGGCGTGCGTGTCTTTCAATTTCCACTGCATAAGTAAATGCAGTGAAATAAACACAATGTTTAGAAGCCTGTTTCTTGTTTTAATTTTGTATAAAAACGAAACATCTAAAATGTAGGAATGTTCTTTAACCAGGTCTCGTACTAAATAAATGTTTTTGGGGGAAGGCACTGAAAGCCACACATAAAATGTGCTTGTTATTAGCAAATAAAAATAACTCAGCCATCCACTGGGGATGTTGCTGTTACCCGTGTGCGGCTCATGTTGGTATTTAACACTAGGTGCCACCCAGCTGTCCCTGAATGTTGGCCCAGGATGGAAGCATCGGAACTGCCTGGGGAATTTATTTGAAAGTTCTTGCTCCCAGACTGGTCTCAGACATCTTCATATAGTAGCTTAGCCAAGGAATGCACACACCTTAACCCTGCATCTCGGTACCTACTCCCATACACCATTCCCTATCAACTTATTCCCGAGCAGGCTGAGTCAGACTAGACCTGAGCTCCACACAGCATCAGAAATAACGGCCCTGCCCTGACTTGTCCTGATGTGCGTGCTCCTTGGAGGAAATAAGTAACCCGTAAAAGGCTATGGGAAAGCAGGGGTGGGGGGATGGTGTTTAAACCCCAAAAAACCTAAGATGACACACATCTCGACCATCCTGGAAGTGAGTTCTCCAGGGCCTCTCTTACATCTTTCCTTAACTTCCCAATCGTTGGTAGCAAGATCAACCTTTTCAAATTGGTCTGTTAGAGAGAGAACATTGATTCCTGATCCAACGCTGTTATGCACTCACTGGTTGGTTCTGGTGTGTGTCCCGACCGAAAATCAAACCAGCGCCATTGGGTGACACTCTGATTTACCCGGCCAGGGCAAGACTTTCAGTGGGAAGCCTGGGAGCAGCCTGGTTTTCTCTTGCACTTGGACGGCCTCAAAGCTCTGTGGAGAGCTGCGGCTGGTACAGGGTCACAGCCCTCACCTGTGCTGCGAAGCCTGGAGAATAAAAAAAGGACCCGGCAGTCTAGAAACTGAGATGACTTTCAGGCAGCGCCGCATATGAAAGACTTCGTAGGTGCTTCAGTTTTCATAAATGAGTAAGTAGAGAGGACTGTGATTTTTTTGAACACCTGTAAGGGGGGAAATCGGTCAAAGGCAGGGTTTGATTGGAACGAGACTAACTTTACCTTACGTGTGACTTACAGCAAGGAGCTCCGCAACGGGAAACTCCAGAACTATGCTACACAAATGGGTAACGGATGAGGTGACTAGTCAGGCCATACAAAAGTGTCCAAAGAAAGTCACCACTACGAATCAGAGAACAATGACCAGCATGTATGAAAATAAGGTGGGCGAACGAATTAGGAGAACCAGCAATTATTTTTAAATACTCCAAAATTTGCATGTAATAAAGCAAATACATGGGAGAATAAAAAGAACAAGGCAAGAGAACAATCTTAAAAATTTTGGTCCATCTATTCTTCGAATGCAGCACATTGTGAAAAAACAATCCATCAGGGAAAATAAAGAAATGCTACACTGAACTAGACTTAGAAATCTAACACAGTCTAAGAGGAAAATGTCAGCTCAAGTTCCACTTACGAACAACTGTAGGAGTTTTTGGAATGTTCGTGCCAGGAGGTGCAACCTGTCGCGAGGCTGAGAGCGTAGGGCCGGGAAGACGGGCCGGGAAGCAGCAGAACGCTTCCTCTTTGCGTGGAGTCTGGCGGATGGCGACTCTGCGGCCCGGAGTCGGCCAGGTGGAGGAGGCATGGCTGTCAACGGCACGCCCTGCAGGCCTTCCTGCCGGGCCTTTACACACTGGCTTTCATTTACTAAAATCTAATGTTCTTAGGTGTGATTTCGTGGTCGTCCAAAGCCTGACCACCTGAATTCTGAAACGTGACCTGCCACAAATCTCCAGCATTCTTCCAGATAGAGCACCGGGCAACCTTTAGTTTCTTTGCTTACCAATAACAATCCTTTTTCCCCATCCTAGTAGATATGGTGCCTCACACACATATTCTAGCTCTGCCCAAAGAAAAAAATCTTTTATTTCAAAATGTAATAGTGATTAGCAAGGCTGATGATCAGAATAACCTTTTGAAAGTTATAGATTGCTAGTCTGCTGGCCAAGAGTCAGTCTCTGAGATGGATCGGGAGATTTTGACATAAGGCATATTTGAAAACCACTGACTTAAATTGTGCCCTGTGCCCACAAGGAATGTACATTTAGGTAAGTTATTTGGGATAGCAGGTAAGGGATGGCCTTCACGTAAATGGAGAATGACTGTTGTAGACACCAAGAAGTGGAGAACTACAATTTTCCCTAAAAAAGGGCTAAAAATGAACATACAGACGTATGAAAATACAAAATGCATTTTAGAACAATATTACTGCTTTGCTCATCTGTTACTCTGGGTCATCAGCAGCACCATCCCATCAGTGCAGACCACGGAAAGACTTCCGTTAAGGCAACACTGGAGCAGTTCTCGTAACGGGATGAGTCTATTTACAAAGTACAGTCAAGATAAATTCAAAACAAACGAGAACTATCAACCCTATTTACACTGTGGGCATAAGTCAGTCACCAATTGAAGCTGATCATCTTCTTTCTTTTAGATAGTTTTCCCAAGCCTAAAAAAAATTGTTAGCTAACACAGTTCACCATCTGCATATACTTTTCCAAGGAGTAAGAGAAAAAAAAAATTCCGAACAAAAACTACCAATAAAGGCACTGCACTACTGCGGCTTGCTTTCTGAACCAGATTTGATGACCACCAAACAACTCTTTTCGCTTAAACTAGTGAAGGGTCACATCAAAAGAAACAGAATCCAACCTGAAAGACTGGACCCCGAAAGGCACTGCTCCAACTACAAACACGGACCACCCCAAATGCATCCTCCTCGTCTGCCTCCCCAGGACCACGCACCAGGTGCCGACACCTGCTGGGCCCCGTACAGACCGCACTGCAGGCTGGGGTTCATGGGGCGCTCACACAACCAGAATGTAAGCCTGGAAAGCGGTTTTGAGCAGATCACTTACACAGACAGGACCTAGGGCCGCAGACTGGCCTAGAAGCAACATCACTATCACACCGAAAGACAAGACCCTCGGGGAACCTTTCCACCTAAACCCGCTCTCAGACAAAGCCCAGAGCACACTCGGCAGGGGCAAAAAAAAACCACAAGAAAATATTTCCAGAAAGGACTAGTTACAAACAGGAACAAACCTGGACTCTTTACTCACCATTTTAATACTGCTGCCAACTATCACAGATTAAAATCTGTACACACAGCAAAGGGGAAAAAGGCCCCAAAATGCAATAGTTTCGGCAAAAGAAGGTACTACGGATTACTATAATTAACGTTGCTACAATAAAAACAATGGCAAACAGGGATTTGGCACCACGTTTACAAAGGAAAAGCATGCACTGTTAATACACTTCAGATGTTTCCCACACCAGAAAAGGCCATGGAAGATGAGAAACAAAGGGCATCTTTTACGAAACTCCCTGGGACTGAGACGAACAAGCAAGAGTTGAAGCTGTCAGTTTAGCAGGGACGTAGCAGCGGAGTCACCGGTTCTGTGTGAAACTGAGCAATCTGCATTTCTGGTTGGCAGCTGCCCTGAGAGTTCTATCCAAGAGGCTGACTTTAGCATATCGCAGAAGCATTTATCTAGTGATTTGGTAATCAGCATAATTCGGGTTAGCCTTCAACCCTACGCTTAAAAAAAGAGAGAGCGCTAGAATCTTATTACAGAACTCTCCAATGTAATTACCACTTAGAAACCATAATGGTACTTCAACAGGATAGGAACATAAATTTCATCCAAAAAGTCATAGTTCTAGCCCCGTAACTGGAGAATTAGATTGTTACAGAAATACTACATTCCAACCACACCAAGAGTAAAAACAACAGGTCCTACGAAGAGGAATGTTTTTAAGACGATCTGCTCATATCATGTGCATAGTTAAGACTGTGTGTTTAATAAAGATTCTTTTGTAAACAAAGGAATAAAATTTAGTAAAGTTATTCTTTATGGGAATTTTTTTTAAAGAACTACCGATGGTCTGTGGAGAAGTAAAAATAAAAAAGAGGAAGCTACGTATCGAAGTTCTGGGATGCAGCACCGCAATTTCACATCTGCCCTAAACATCTGAGACTAAGAAATCCAAGTGATGTCTTGATTCATACTTTACAGCTGCTCGAATTCCAATGTCTGATTTCAGCATCTCGTGTCAATGAAGAGTTCCCTAGTACAGAAGGTTGTGCTAAAGAGTGCTAAGATTCCGCAGGCTGCCACCGTCGCCGGTCCCATTCGTGCTTGCCGCTGCCCAGAGAGAGGGCAGAAGTCTGGTCTCGGCACTCCACACTGCAGCAACTAGAAAAGAAGAACGTTCTCAATCAGAGAAGGTCTGCTAAGATGCGTCACTGCAGCACTGGTAACAGAACGGTCCGAAGCTGTACCTTTTGTTCGCCTCCACACGCTTCAGTACAGGCCGCACTCCTTTAAGTTGTTTTTAATGATGACGTCCGTGACGGCGTCAAACACGAACTGCACGTTCTTGGTGTCGGTGGCACAGGTGAAGTGGGTGTAGATCTCCTTGGTGTCTTTCCTTCTGTTCAGATCTTCAAACTGGCACTGGATGTAAGCAGCTGCTTCTTCGTATGTGTTGGAACCTGAAGCAGACACCCAATATCCTCAGTTCAAATTTGAACAGCTGCCTGAACTCAGTGAAGTCAGGCCAGCACCATTTGCTGATGGAGAGGGGGTGCGACCCCGCTTTGAATATGAATAGATTCTTGTATTTCTGTAACCACTATTAGATTTTTTCCTGAGCGCAGACACGCATCATTAAAAATTAAACAAAATCATCACAAAGATCCAGGAAAATAAAACTTTAAGTATTTCTTTCCCCTTTGACAATTTTTGGCCAAATGTCTAGAAAGTATAAAAGGAAACCAGGGAAGTAGGCGGATGCATTTCTAGAACACAATTGTTTAAAAGGTCACAAAGCCTGTGTGTGCTCCTTGAAGTGACTGTGAGTAAGTCACACTTTTCAAAATCATTCTATTGTTAAGGGGGCTTAGCCTTGGTTATGGTGACAATTTAAATGGCCAAAGGTAAGCTAATAGATGCAGAGGGAAAGGGCCCTAAATTATACACCTCAAAGTACTGAATTTTATGGTATGTGGCCTGTATCTCCATAGTGCTGTTATTTTTTAAAGGTGGGGGGACCAAAAGTAAACCCCATTTGTGATTAACACCTTCTATCACCTGCGTCCTACACCGTCTTGTCTATTTGCACATCTATTTATCGGGGCCAGGGAAATGCAACAAAAACACAGTCCTTCCTGTGAACCAGAGGCTCCTTTCAGTGACAGTAAGCATGACAAAAAACAAATACCAGCAACTAAGTATACAAAAACTAAGTAACAACGAAAAACTTATGAAGGAAATAGGTATTATTTAAACAGAATATTTTAAAAACTTAAGGAAGGCAGCTTGGTAGCTGCTTGAAATGGTTTTCTTGAGATCTGCAGAACTTCCCTAATCGAAGAGAGACAGATGATTGAAAAATCAATTCTGTCTGGTAGGAACATAAATTGATACTTGGGAAAGCTGTTAGACTTCCTAAGACTGTGAGAGTCCTTAGGAATAATAAAGTCAATGGAAATGAGGCTTGAACGTGTGTGTACACATGTGTGTATGTACACACACACATACATATATATATATAAAATGTGGCAACCAAGGCTCTTGGCTCTGTGTGAAGAGTCCCGGCTGGAACATTAATGTCAATCCTTACACTTGTCTTGGGAAAGATTTCTCCCCCCCAAACCTGCCTACTCTCTACATAAACTCGCCCAGTGCTCACACCCACCTCACTCAGAACCACGACCACATTTCCCACTTTCATGGGGCTTAGTCTAGAATCTTAACCTTTCAGCTCCTAGAATCTTAACCTTTTAGCTCAACACCTTGCTTTAAAAGTTACAGCTATCTCTACTCATTTTTGTACCTTTGGTCTGAGAGATGTTTTTCTTCTAGTACAAAATTCAGTTGCTGTCTAGACTTTTTTAAAAGTCGAGGTAAAATTAACGTGACGTAGAAGAAGTGGCATTTCCTGTATTCACAATGTTATGCAACTACCAGCTCTCTAGTTCCAAAACTTGTTCACCACCCTAGAAAGGCACCCCATTCCCTGTAAGTGATCACCCCCCATTCATCCCTCCACCCCCCAAAGTCCTGATGACCACCAGCCAAGCAATCTGCTTTCCATCTCTACGGATTTGCCTATTTGGGAAGTATCATATAACAGGAACACACAAACGTGATGCTTTGTGTTTGGCTTCTTCCACTCACCACGATGCTCGCGGAGCTCACCCAAGCTGCCGCACCATCAGTACATAAAGAGGAAGAAAGGCTCCTTCTTACGGTCGAACCCCATCCCATTACACGGACATGCCACTCTGTGCTCCCCTCATCAGACCTGGACTCATGACTCCTCCTTTCCCCACCCACTTACAATTATCGCTCCACCAATCACATCCACTTTCTGTAATCTTTCTTTTGCTACAGGTTCTTACCTCTAAGCCTATAAACATTCACCTGGTCCCACACCCATTCACTCCACTGAAACTGCTCCCAGTAATGGCCAAGCCCAGAGGCCACTTTCCAATGTGCATCTTTCGCTCTTTTTTTGTAAACAGCACTAGTGACCAGCCCTCGCTCCTTCAACTCTCCTCTTAGTTTTTGATACTTTAACTCTCCTGGCTCTTCTCTTTTAATCCTCTATCAACCCTTCTTTCTCTCCTGCTGATACAAGTTGGCTTTCTCTCTCATTCCACCCATGGTCCTTTTCTCTCCTCATTCTGCATCATTACCCTAAGTTGTTCTCATTTCCATACTATATCTCAAATCAATATACCTTAACCCACAAGCTCCAAGGCCATGTATGTAACTGTCTATTAGATAGCTCTATCTAGATGTTCCACAGACGCGTCAATATCTACATTCCTAAATACAAATCCAAAGCACAGCACCAGCACCCAATCAAGACAGAACTCTTGGGCCCTGGCTGGTGTGGCTCAGTGGATTGAGCGCTGGCCTGTGAATCAAAGGGGCGCTGGTTCAATTCCCAGTCAGGGCTCATGCCTGGGTTGCAAACCAGGTTCCCCAGTGCGGGGTATGCAAGAAGCAGCCACACATTGATGTTTCTCTCCCTCCCTTCCCCTCTGTCTAAATATAAATAAAGTCTTTAAAAAAAAAAAAAGGACAGAACGCTTGGGAATACCTGTGACTCCTCCCCCTCCCTCACCCTGGACACCTCGTAGACAGCATTCAGTGTCTGTGCAGCAAATAAAGGTCAGGGCACTACAGCTCTGGTGGTCATGTCTCTCCTAGGAATTTGGATGTGGGGCCAACTGACCGCCGTCTAGCTTAGTCTTTTAAATGGAGGAAACATAGGAACTGTGGCAGGACCATCTCCTACCGCATAAACCGAGCAGCAGAAAAAGTTGGTAAGGAGAGAGGATAAAGACACAGAAAGAGGAGAGAAATAGGGAAAGAAATGTTTCCAGGGGTCTTGCCAATTTCTAATTCCTAATTCTAGCTGCATTCTTAAGATACGTCTGCACTCTGCATTCTTGCCATAGTTTCTATGACATGTACCTCTATCTTCACTGAAAGTTTTGTTTGTATCCAGAGTCCTAATTAAACTCCCCTATCTTTTTTGCCATTGCCCGCATAATCTTTTTGAAGCAGTTTCTAGGACATCATCCACCCGTTAAAATCCTTCCAGAGCTCCTACTGTCTCAGCTAGAGAAACGAGGCCCTCCATGAGCATGCCTGTCCGTCTCTCCAACCAGTTCTTCCCCCACTTAAAGTTCCAGCTACACCAAGTTCCTACTAGGATCTAGAACAAATGGTGTCATTTTTTTACCTCCATATTTTCATTTTCTTGAAAACATATTTTATTATATTATTATAGTTGTTCCAATTTTCCCCCCTCCACTTGGTACCCTCTTTCTTTCCAGTAATCCCTGCCCTAGTTCATGTCCATAGGTCATGCATTTAAGTTCTTAGGTATTTCCCACGCTGTTCTTGGCACTTCCCTATTTTGTACCTACCAATTATGCTTGTTATTCCCTGTACCTTTCCCCCCATTCTTCCCCTTCCCCTTCCCAGCTGATAACCCTCCAAATGATCTCCATGCCTATGACTCTGTTTCTTTTCTGGTTGTTTGCTTAGTTTGTTGTGGGGTTTTTTTTAGATTCAGTTTTTGATAGTTGTAAATCTGTTGCCCTTTTAATGGTTTTCATCTTCTTTTTCTTAAGTCCCTTTAGCATTTCATGTAATACTGGCTTGGTGATGATGCTCTTTATCTGCCCTTCCATTCTAAATGATAGCTCTGCTGGACAGAGTCATACTGGATATAGGTCCTTGCTGTTCATCACTTTGAATACTTTGTGCCAGTCCCTTCTTGCCTGCAAAGTTTCCTTTGAGAAATCAGCTGAGAGTCTTATGAGAACGCCTTTGTAGGTAACTCTGCTTTTCTCTTGTTGCTTTTAAGGTTCTCTCTTTATCTCTTTTTAAAAAGTTATTCCTAGGTATTCTTTTACGTTTGTTCTGAAGGTTTTATTTATTTATTTTTAGAGAGAGGGGAAAGGAGAGAGAAAGAGAGAGAGAAAACATCAATGTGATTGTCTCTCACATGCCCCCAACTGGAACCTGACTCACAACCCAGGCATGTGCTCTGACTGGGGAGTGAATCCGCAACCCCTTGGTTTCCAGGCCAGCACTCAGTCCACTGAGCCACACCAGTCAGGGCTCTCTCTTTATTTTTAACCTTTGGCATTTTAATCGCCATGTGTCTTTGCGTGGTCCCCTTTGGGTCCAACTCGTTTGGGACTTTCTGTGCTTCCTGGACTGCTATGTCTATTTTCTTCACCAAATTAGGGAAGTTTTCTTTCATTATTTTTACAAATAAGTTTTCAGTTTCTTTCTCCTCCTCTTCTCCTTCTGGCCCCCCTATGATTCGGCTGTTGGTACATTTCAAGTTGTCCCACAGGTTCCTAAGCATATCCTTGGTTTCTTTTTAAAATTCTTTTGTCTTCCTGCTGTTCTGACTTTTTTTCCTTCCTTGTGTTCCAAATCATCGATTTGATTCTCAGCTTTATCCCCTCCACTGTTGGTTCCCTGTAGATTTTTATTTATTTCACTTAGTGTAACCTTCGTTTCTTCCCTTACGTTTTTGCCACACTCAGTGAGCTCGTTGAGTATCCTGATCACCTGTGTTTTGAACTCTGCATCTGATGGGTTGGCTGTCTCTGTTTTGTTTAGTTCTTTTCCTGGGGTTTTGTTCTGTTCTTTCATCTGGGTGGTACTGCTTTGTCTCCTCAATTCGGCAGCCTCCCATTGTTTGTTTTGTGTGTGAGGTAGAGCTGTTCTGACTCCCTGTCTTAGAAAAGGCACCTGTAAATTATGTAGGGCAGAGCCTTAGGTAATCACCAGGGCAGGGCAACCTGCTATGCTGCTGTGTAGGCCTCTTAGAGAGGGGACAATGCCACTGCCAGGCTTCTGTGGGCTTGTCCGGCACTTGCCCCATTTCTAGTCACTTCTCCCACTCCTGTGTGCCACTGGCATCTTTCCAGCTGTTGCCCTGGTGGTGAATTCCATAGTGGGTGGGTTTGCTATGTTCTAAGTCTGTGTGGGCCCTTTAAATGGACTCTCTGGAAAATCCGGCAATTCCCCGCACCGCCCCAATGCCCACTGGTTTTTACAGCCAGAAGTTATGAGGGAATCTAGCTTCCTGGAGCTGGAACCCTGGCCTACGTGGTCTGGTCTGGGGCTTGGATTGCTTGCTCCCAAGATGTCCCTCCCGAAATTTATCCATCATACGTGAGGGTGGGACTGCCCGTTCTGCTGCCACGGCCTCTCTGTGCCATGCTGTGTCTCCACTCCTGTCTCTGCAACTCTGCCCCTCACACCCATCTGGGTGAGTGTGGCTTCTTTAAATCCCTGGTTGTCAGACTTCCATGTAGCTTGATTTTCTGACAGTTCTGGTTGTTATTTCTTTTGAGATATAGTTGTAATTCTCTCCGTGGTTGTGCAAGGAGGCAAAGCATGTCTACCCATGCCTCAATCGGGGTACCTCCACATTTTCATGTATGCTATTCCATCTCCCTAAAATGTTTCTGTTCTCTTGTCTACCTGGTGCTTTCTAATTCATCCTCTTACTGTCTCACTCCAAGTGTCATTTCCTCTAGAGAAAAACTACACTGACCCCAGACAGGTAACTCCTGCTTCCGTTCTTCTATGAACGGCCATTTCAGACTGCAATGAAAATTCTTTGTGTGTGTGTCTCTTTCTACTACTAATGTCAGTTTCTCGAGTGCAATGACTGCACCTTCCCCTTGTATTTATACCAAATGTATTTATACCAAATTTTGATTTTTATTTTTCTCCATAGTCCTCAAAAAATAAGGATAGAAAAATAAAGCGAACTAGTAAAGTTGTTTTTGTCTGGAATAGCACTTTAGACTTAATCACATACCAGTCCCAGTGAACACTGCCCACAAGGACAACAAAACAAAACAAAACAAAACAAAACAAAACAAAAGGCAGCTGCAGGAATGTCACTGAGGTGCCGATCTAAGATGGGTACTTCCACCAAAACCCTTCCGGACTCCTTACCCGTGTATTCTGGATAACAGATAGTTAATGGACTCCTCTTTATTTTTTCCTCAAAAAGATCTTTCTTGTTGAGGAAGAGAATGATTGAAGTGTCTGTAAACCATTTGTTGTTACAAATGCTGTCAAACAGTTTCATGCTTTCGTGCATTCGGTTCTACAACAGAAATAAAGAGTGACAGGTCAGCAACGAAACGTAAAGGTGGGTCAGCCGTTCCCCACAAACCCAACGGCACTGGCGGGACGGGGCGGCCCTCCTCCCTTTAGCTTGTGGGAGGTTGGGGGGTGGACAGGGAGACCGGCTGATAGGAGGGCTGAACCCTGCCCACGTGCTCAACATGCCATCACACCTTTTGAGAGTTAACAGGGCATGAATATTCTCAAAATCTAATCTCACTGACAAGGAAAAAATCACGGATATTAAGTTGGATTCAAAGAACCCATGGATGCACAAAGTTTTCCTACGAGTTATTCCCCATTTCCTGGATGCATCGGACAGGCTGTTTGCCAGCAGCCCCAACATACCATCTCTTCGTCCTCAGCCAGAACAAGGTCATAATCACTGAGGGCCACACAGAAGATAATTGCTGTCACTCCCTCAAAACAGTGAATCCACTTTTTTCGTTCTGACCTTTGGCCACCTACATCAAACATCCTGAGTAAGGGAGGAAAAAAAGCACAAATTCAGCAAGATCTCACACACACCTCTCTCTAAGTTGAAATGGTTAGGGAATTCCCCACTGTTGCATGTTCCAAACCCCATTTGTAACAGAAGGACAAAGAAGCAGATAAAATGTAGTCAAAGTAATTATTTGTGGTTAAAACAGAACATGAGGAAATAAAACTTTGAATAACCAAAATCCTCATTTTAGAGAAATAGTTTAGCCTCTCTAATCAAAGTTTGTATCAGATACCAAGCCAGCAGAATAAGCACTGGAATGAGTTACAGGAAGGAAAAATGAGGCGCTGACTAATACAACTGAAGCTAGTACCAGTAACTAACATTAACCGTGCGTTTACCATGAAGTCAGGCACCACCCTCAACATCTTAAGTTGACTTCACCCTCAAAACACTCTGGGAAGCACCCCTAGGGTACAGATGAAGAAGTGGAGGCACCCACATTAAATAACACGCCCAAAGGCGTGCACTAACAGATGGGCCGGGGTCTGAACCCGGCATGTCCGCCAGGCCGCGGCTCCGCCCCAGTGGTTTACCTCTTCAGTTAAGAAAGAACATGACAAACTGTAAATCCCCAACTTGTATTCTCTTCCATAACCTCTCCCTACTGAGTCACAAGTTTATTTTTCTTACTTAAAAAAAATTTTTTAATTGAGGTATAATAGAGATATGTCTTCCTTAAAGAAGAAAATATTTTTGAGACTAATTATGGAAAAAAAGCAAATTGTATTTTGCAATAGGACTCTTAAGAGCCCAATATCTAAAAGTAAAACTTAACCGATGTTTCTCAATCCTAATTATGAATTAGGTTCCTGTTTGAACCTAATCAGTGATAAGAAAGCCTGGAGTGCTCACACACTGCACACTCCGTCCGGACCAGTTTCGGTCCACTGCTCCCTTCTGGGGGCTTACTGGACATCCTGAGTCACTGACGAACTCCTGTCAACAACCTCATCTACCTCCTAGAACACAAGAAGCACCCACACAGCTTTATTTATTGATATATGTATTATTTCTTTTTTTAGAGAAGAAAGGAGAGCAAGAGAAACATCAATTTGCTGTTCCACTTATTTATGCATTCAGTGGTTGACTCTCATATGTGCTCTGACCAGGGATGGAACCCGCAACCTTGGTATATTGAGACAATGCTCCAACCAACTGAGCTACCTGACCAGGGTGTACCTGCACAGCTCTGTCTCAGCCGGTACTAAATATAAGAAGGTATGCATGCAAATGGTTAGACATTCTTGAGATATACGTTTGATAACAATGACAAAAGGTTATTGGAAAGGTTAAAAACCTTGCCAAGCTGGTTTACAGTCTAAGATCTACGGTGACTGAGGGTCTATTTTCAAAGACTCCCCCAGCAGAGACCAAGAGAAGTTAAGAAATAGTTGAATAATTTTTTAATGTGTTTGAAAAGTTATCTTATTACCCTTTCTTTTTTCAGCCACGTGTTTGTTCATTTACTTAATTGCTTATGCTCATCTTATCTCTTCATGACCCGACTTTTTCTTCTGACTGCTTTGTGCTGTTTTCCAACCTTTGGTCACGATGCCTGTAATGATGCAATCACAGGCTGGCCCTAATACAGGGTCACACTACAAGTTTCAGGAAAGCTAACATCATATATTTCACCATGGATGTCTTTCAAGGAGTCACACCATGGTACCCCAATAATATGTTTTCCTCTGAAAAGTTCGTAAAACTGGTGGGACAGTATGAAGTTCCCCGGGTGGCTTTTAGCACACATTAACATTTACAATATCGTTCACTAACACATCAGCATTTTACAAACATACTGCACAACTGGGAGGCAAGTAAGCAATTATGCAATGCCTTGCCCAGAGTGAGTGCTCAGCAAACGTCTGAGTAAGTGGACTGTGGTTCTGCCCAGAGATGAGGACGAGGAGGAAGTGACGGCACTTCATAACTGGGCATCTACAGGCCAGCAATGAAGTGGGGGCAGTACCTTCATTTGATCTGGCTGTGGGTCCTGACCTAAGACAACCAGTGGAAGATTGATCTATGACAACACTGACAAGAACGTTTCCCACACTAAATAAAGGTGGCAACATTTGATTATAAATGGATTACTAATCTTAATAATATACAAAGAGACAACTCATTCTTACGGTTTTGTGGGTGATAATCCAAGCGGCTCCTGCCACTCTTGGTAAATAAACTCACCAGCACTAAAGAGAAGCAACTCTTCTAGTCTACAAATATTCGGCTGAACTGCTATTTCCTGTACCAGGTTTCAATCTGGTTAGGTGTATAAAGATTTCAAGACCTCAACTGGCATGTAGTAATACCTAAACTCTGCGTGGATTTCACAAAAGCTCTGAATTAATTTTTTTCAGAGAAAAGAAAACTGAGAGATCTGAGCTAAAAGTTCCATGTGTGTGCAACAATGCTCATACCACGTTCTGCATACAAATGTTAGGAGGTTCTTTTTAGCTTAAAAACAGTATCACATGTTGAAGGGGAAAAGCCTGCTTCTAATCTCAAAGGTCCCAAAAGCAGAAAACAGGAACCAAAGACAGTTTTAACATAACAGACATTAACACGGAGACAAGCTGGAGTCTATTTTAGAATTCCTAATGCTGATGAGAAAACCTTTGCTACTGAAACACTAGAATTTCCTCTAAAACCACCCGTTTGTATCATACGTCTCCAATGCCTCTACCCCCAGGTGGATCTTTCCCTTCTGTGCTGCACTGAGAACTCAGTTTTGCAGGATGCTGAACATAGATCCACCCAAGAGCCAGGACTGCATGAGCTCCGCTCAATGCAAGTTAAAAGGGTATGCACTCGGTCAGAAGGGACCGATGGTAGTGAGAAAAGCAGCGCTATTTTAATGCCAAACGGCAGGACAAAGCCACTTGGCTGGCTTTCTGTCCTTCTAGTATTGTTGTCACCCTTCTAAACAATACTCAGGGTCTATTGCTTCTGTGGTTCCAACAAAAAAAGCAGCTGAAAAGAACAAAACTAAAAACACAGTACACTGGTAACCATAGGATTACTTTTACTGATACCTAAAGTACAATTAATTTTGAGTTTACCTCCTCCAAATGGACAGAAATATCGATGTTATTCGGGGAAAGAAGAAAGATCTGGGCTCCTACAGTTCCAGCATTCAAATACTGACTCCAGCAAATTCAAATAGCCCTGGCTGGTGTAGCTCAGTGGATTGAGCTCAGGCCTGCGAACCAGACAGTCGAGGTTCAATTCCCAGTCAGGGCACATGCCTGGGTTGCAGGCCGGTTCCCCGCAGGCCAATTCCCTGCAGGCCAGTTCCCAGCAGGGGATGCGCAAAGGGCAACCATACATTGATGTTTCTCTCCCTTTCTCCTTCCCTTCCCCTCTAAAGATAAATAAATAAATTTAAAAAAAAATACTGACTGATAAATACAGTAAGTTCTAAACCAATAATGCTAGAGAAATTGTACCTCAGTGAAGAGACACTAACTAAAGAAGAGAATCTGTTTGGCACGCCCGGCCAAAAGGCTAGTGACTTACTTGAAGTACAGGTCTTTGAAGGTGAAGTGCGTCTCCACAATGCCTGTGGTCTTCACTCTTGTCCGCAGGACATCTTGTTGGGTTGGAATGTAGTTGGTTTGGGATATTCTATCCAAATCGTTGAGGTAACTAAATAAAATACACAGCAAATCAATGGGCTAAACGAGTTCCTTGCCAAATGCAGACCCTAAACTAAAGTGGCAGAACAGAATGAGATCTTCAGTATCACAGAAATAGTAGGAACTTGTGACCCTAGAATAGGAAAATGCAAGTAGGTTCTATGTACATTACACAAAAATGGTTTTAACTCTACCAGAATTAAACTGTGAAGCTCAATTAAAAATATGAAAATGCAAGTTAAAAAAGAAGTTAAAATATAGAAATATGTTATTCTTCTTAAAATTCCTGAAATTTAATGGCAATTCATTTGTGCACTGCACAGTGTAAAAAGCAAAACAAAAGCCCCCTGACACTGAAAGTGAACGGGTCATTTGTATGTTTAAACACTTGGTAGGACGTTAGAGAAAGGTGTTTGAATTACTAACACTAAAAGGAGAACTATGCTCAATAAGTGTTTCTGGAAGGGATGAGCCCAGGAACATACATGTACGTATCACCCACGGACCCCGAGAACAGTGTGGTGATGGCCAGGACGGGAGGAGGGAGGCAGGCAGACATCTGTAATAGTGTCAATAATAAAAATAAAGAAAACAAATGAGTATTTCCTGGTTTTATTTATGAAACTAAAAGTTGTGGTTTTTTAAAAATTTAAGCCAAAACCCACTGTAAATACCTTCAAAGCAATTTAGTTTGTCAGTGAAATAATGAAAAAACTGCCTCCATGATAAACTAAATTCTTCACGATTTCGGGGTTTCTAAAGGTTATTTTGGCCTGACAAGTGACGAACAGGTGGTGTCATTGTAAGTGAATCATTAATAAGGAATAGGTCAAGCAGAGATCCACAATTAGAAAAAATAACTTTATAATCACAGTCTTCAGGTGCAATGGGAGGATTCAGAGCTTACTGAATGTATGACAAAAAAACTTACAATCTAGCTCTGATGACTACTGGGAGAATTATTTAAGCTACCAATTATATCCAATTTAAAAAAATTATTATAAAATGGGCAAGAATCCAGAACTGCTTCTAAAGTCAAATTTTCTCTTAAAGAATAAGTTTTTCAAATACCATTTAATTTCTTCTTATAACAATTTAAGCTAGAATGAGGATGGAAAAAGTAGGAAAATATAATGCTGGAGAAAATACCTTAATGTTTAGAAGTGTCTTCATTTAGTAAAGAAATGAACACAACTAACAAGCGCTCACCAAGCCCCTAAAATGCATGTTAAAAAACCCCCAACATTCTGAATATCGGTCTTATAAAATAAACATGTTGTAAAAGAAGCAAAATAGGATGGCATGCTATAACTTAAGTATTAATTACAAGTTTTCTAAAACTACATAACACTCGAGAGAATTTCTTTCACAAACAGATGCTTCAAGTTCATCCCAAGACTCAACATTCTATTTCAACAGGAAGCCTGCTACTGCGATCTGGCACAAGATTTCCCAGAGAAACGCATAGTGCAACCCAGCCACAGAGCTGCGCGGAAAAAAGGGATGCTTCAACTCTAAGTTCCCTCGTTAGCTGGCAGTCGGAGCAAAGCCGCGATGCAGAGGAACTTTCGAGTTGGAAGGGAACCAGGCCCCCGCATCAAGAGATGTCTCACCAGTTTCCCTTGCTGATTATAAACCAGCACACAGCTACTTCCCCAGGACCGAGACTCCCATTTACATTCCAAGAGGAAATGGTTTTCTCCAAGTCCCAGAAAATGACCAAGGGCTCTATAACTAAACTGAACAATCTTTGAGAAGTCCACAGACTTTGAAGAGCGTCTGTTACTTGAACGCTTCCTTAAGGATGAGCAATGAACTTTCTCTAGAGTCACCAAATTAGTCTGCTATGGTTTCATAGAGAGAAATTACTTACTATGAGGCAGAATCATTGAGCTGATATTCCCTGGATCTGCAGAAGCAAGCCTGCACCCCGCCATCTCGCCACAGCCGTTTAATCACGCCTGCGAGTTCAGGGGTCATGACTCCCTCTTCGGCACTGCCAGCTAAGACAAAGAGCTGTCGGGCATCATCCTGGAGAGAGAGAGAGACGAGGGATTCTCCATTTCTTAAAGACTTGACAAGAGTCTCTTTAACACACATGCACCACCACACACAGCACTATATGTTACAGCATTTTAAACGAGGCACGAGAGACGTAGCTGGCAGGGCAGTCTGAGAGAATGCACATGAAGTCTCCATCCATGTCGGCAGTGGGTGGAAGCGCAGAGCCGAGCTGAGGAAGGATTTCACTCTCCTAACCCTTCTCCGCACACCACCGTCTCCTGCCAGGGTCTCTTCTGACTGGCCTACACATCTCCAACCTGGCTACTCAGAAGTTTTGATGGAAAAAACTGGCCTGGGAGACAGACACATGGAACTCATTTGCATTCTGTTCAAGGAAGCCTACAATAAAAACAGAATGAAAAGACTAGCACGTTAAGAGGCGAAGTCTACACATGTCAAAGGCAGTAAAACACACTCAAGGAAAAAGGGTTCTCTTCTCTCCCGTTCAGGTCAGACAGGGGAACAGGAAGAAGTGGAAGACTAAGGCATTTTAGGAGTGTAGGAGCTTGGGGGCAGAGGGGGGATAAATCCCTCGGGGGAAATTCAGTATCTAGATTTTCCCCAGAGAAATAATAACCCTCTAAATAAGATGGGGGGGGGGGGGAAGGCAGCAGGAAGAAAAGAAAATCACAAGGAGAGATTGATCAGAACGTGGTGAACCACAAGGCTGGGCTTTGTAAGTGGTTACAGACCTGGAATGTGGGACGGAGAGAAAGGACCGCAAGGGGCCACAAGAACTGTACTTGTTTTGCTTGACTCCCCTCAGCCCTAAACGTCAGATGGTATGAAAAGGAACACCAGTCTCAGGGGAGGATTCCCCACTCCAATCTAATACTGCTCTGCCTCAAGGAGATTTCCAAATGACTATGCAAATGCATATACTCAAAAAATGCATATTCGGGATAAAGAAAAAGCAGAGGGTGAAGACACCACTCAGTTGCGTCACAAGTAGTCCGCGAGACCAAGCAGCCAGCAAAAAGCATCTCCGAGGCAGGCGCGATCCCAGCCACAAAACCCCGAGCCCCGTGTATCCACATGAGCAAAGCAGAGCAGAGCAAAACCAACCCGAGCGCACTCTGAGTGCTTCTGCCAAACCGGGGGTCTTCGGCCCCGACGGCGTTTGACAAGTAACATTCCTCCCATCCTTTCCTGCACCCTTGGCTGTGTATTTTTACATAGCCAACCCTGTCTAAGGAACTTTCCCTAACACCTGCATTCCCTTCCTCACTTTCCAGAGATAAAAATTTAATATAAAGGAATGGATGACTGAGAAAAGATGAAAAATGACATAAACTGGCACTGAACAGTGAGCAAGCCCTTCTATGAAGATGGTGCACCGTTTTCACCATCTTGGTTCTGAAATCTGACCATACTCATGCAAGTATTCAAAAACCTCAATAGGCATTACTTTTTAATATAATAGTGTAATTCCAATTTTAGAAACTTAAAAAAAAGAGAGCTACTGCTACCTAATTTTGTTGTCCTGACTACAATTTGTAAACACTGTTTGAGGAGGAAGCACTTTCTCCTTCCACTGACCAACGCTGCTTCCCCACAGCATTCTTTACAGGTCTGTAAAGAGGCCCCTCTCTGCAATGAACTTCACCCTCAGCAGACATGAAAAAGCAACCTGTCCCATAACCAGCTCTATCCTTTCCCATCCACTCCCCAACCAACCACAAATAGCTGGAGAAGGACAACAGAGGAGACATAAATTCTTATGTATAAAAAAGAGGAATTTCAGAAAACGATGTATAGACTCATTGATTAGTATGGGTGGATGATGGAAAGCTAGACGACTCAGGATGCCTGAGAGGAATTAATAATGTCAACTGTATCTGGTGACATAGAAGTGTTAGGACCCAAAGATGACAAATTTGATAAACTAAAGAAATAAAAGAAGGGGTCATATGGTCTATATGTCCGGCTCCCTCCACCCCCCAATTCCTATGTTGGATTCCTAATTGTCCAACGTGATAGTGTTAGGAGGTGGGACCCTGGGGGGCGGTGCTTAGGTCATGAAGGGGGAGCCCCATGAATGAGATTCCTGTCTTTGTAACAGAGACCCCAGAGAGATCCCCTCCCCTTCTACTTCCACCCTGTGAACAGAGCCCTCGTCCAACCATGCTGGCACCCTGATCTTGGCCGGCCGGCCTCTGGAGTCTGAGAAATAAGTTTCTGCTGAAAATAAGCTATGGAATCTTCGGTACTGTGTGACTGCAGCACGAACACACTAAGACAGACACTGTCACCTGCATCTGATGAGAAAGGAGTGCCGGGACCCAAAGATTAGTAACAACCGATTTGATAATGGGAAGAAATGAAAGGAGGGATGGTCGAGAGATATGAAGAATGAGGGGTGAAAAATAAAAAGGAAACTAAAAGAAGTAACTGAGATGGAGAAAAATCCAACAAAGAGAATAAATACAGTATTACTGACCAATTAGCAGGCACAGCAAACACAGGGTGGGGCAAAAGTAAGTTTACAGTTGTTCTTATGGACAGGAATAAATAATTAATAAATAACAATACAAGAATAAACTGTTTCAAGTACTTACAACCATAAACCTACTTTTGTCCCATCCTGTATAACAGAGAAGCAGAATTAGGTGATGGGAAGAAATAAGAAGGAGACAGAAAATGAACACAGGAGAAAGCTGGTAGGAAGAGAAGAAAAGGGAAAGCAGAAGGTGAGAGAAAAAATAGAAATAAGACAAAAGTAAATACTGTAGCACAGAGATACAGTATTCCTGAATACCTGAAGGGTGCCTCCAAAATTTAGATCTGGAGTTCATGTCCTTACTAAGTATATTCTGGGAGACCGATATTTGCCTTTACTCCCCACACCTCCAAAAGCAGAGCTACATATCACGGCACCCGCTTTTAGATCACACCAATTTACTACCATGTGCTACTACAAAATGAGAAAAACGGTGCTGCAAAAGAAGTGAATAAGTGACCACAGAAACCTCTAGCATATCCACAGAACCCATTTCCTAGACTCTCCTTTGCCAACACTCCTCAAATGAGCCCAGAGCACTTTGCTACATCTTACCCTGTTGCTTAAATTCATTTCCCTGAAACAGGAAGCAGATCTTGCTTAACTGCATGTACTGAAGAGAGCAAGCGAAGAGGAAATGAGAAACACTTACTGCTCTGGCAGCTTCCCCAAAGTCAATCTTCAGCCGCCCCATGGCCCTTATGATGGCAATAATGGACTGTATAGTGTTGCTGTAGACGACGACTTTATACTGTTTACATTCCTCCTCTGAATAGCCGTCCTCATGAATGATTCTTTGAAGAGAAGAAAACCACAGATCATTACCGTGAACCTAAAATGAAAGGAGACTGCGGATTTGTACGCAGTGTGAGGAAATGCAGCCTTACAAAAGGCCGCGTTTCAACTTACTTCATCTGTTTCACAATGGTGCTTTTGCCAGATTCTCCGGCACCTGAAAAGAGAAGAACACCAGACTTTGAATTCATCTGTAATCAAACGCAAAAGCTTGACATCAATGTGAGTGATAATTCCAGATTAACGGAAAACACAGGTCCTGGGAAAACTGGTGAGGCCTTCCGTCTATCAGCGACCCAGCGAACTTCACGGGCCGTGTCCCGGGCCTCCACATGCCGCCTGTGGAGAGCAGGCGTTCTCAGGTGATAACCCAACATACTCACGTCTAGGAACTCATCCTCCACGTGAAACACAATATGGACACTGAACAAAGGCAAACATGAAGGGATTTATTTTTGGACTATTTGTATTAATTTCTATGTCAACACTCATGGGCTGAGAATGTTCCCGGAGCAATGCTCTCAGCCGAGGGACTAAAGAAGTCATCACTGGCGCAGAGGAGGCACTGTCCCCAGCACCTGTGCCTGCTACAACCCCCACCCCTCCACACACACACCAGGGGTCCCTCCCTGGCCAGCTAGAACCACTGAAGGGCCACTCGTTGATGGTTCACCTGCATCATTGCAGCCAGTTCCTTCTCCCACCGTCCCAGGTGCCCATTTCACATCACCGCCTCTCCCCCAAACTTAACAGGCCTCTTCCCACTTCCAAACATCAGCTGATGACCCCGCCTCTCTGTTATTGGAAAAATTAAAGCACTCAAAAAAACACTCTTCATTTTCCCATAACCAAGTCTACCATTCATTCCATTTGTACCTCCAAGAAAATTCTCTACCTTCATCAATGGATGAAGTGTTTCTGCTGACATCTAAGACTAATAATCTCTTCAACTGTGCCCTCATCCATCCACCTTGTTTTACCTACGCGAGGTCCTGGCTGCTACAGTTACCCTCCATCACACGGATATCATTGAGCTTTCTCTTCCCACTAGTCACTCTCATCAGTGTACAAACTCACTATACTGTCTTCCATCTCACGGTCAGCTCACGTACACCCCACTCCTGCCTCCCCTGACTCCTCACTCCTTCCTCCAGCTACCACTCCATCTTCTCTTCCTGTCTAGAGCAAACATCGAGTCGTCTATACTCATGTCCCCCAATTCTGTGCCTCCAACTCTCTACGTAACCTGCTCCAGGCAGGTGTTCACACCCACCACTCAACTGAAACCACCTTTCAAATTCTCCAACAATTTCCATCTTCACAAAGCCAATGGCCAAGCCTCAGTCCTCATCTTACTCAATCTCTTAAACAGAGTTTGTCCGTGTTGATGACTTCTCCCCTTGAAACACTTTCTTCACTAGACAGGCCCCCAGAGCCCACGTTCTCCTGGTTGGACTCCTACCCCGCTATTTCTGTCCTCCCTCCTGGCTCTGAATTCTAAAGACTGTATGACTTCTTCAGCCCTTTTCTCAATCTCCATTCATTCTCTAGGTCATCCCTTCTAATCTCATGGTTTTAAACGCCATCCATAAACTGGTAATACTGATAGTTAACATCTAGGGAGTACTGAATGCCAGACACTGTTATAAGCACTTTGTTTGTATTAACCCAATTAATGCTCAACATCAACTCTGTGCAATAGATACTATCATCCCCAGTTTATAGATAAGGTAAATAAAGTATGGAGACGTCAAGTTGACTTGTCCACAATTAGTAAGTGGCAGAGCTACAAGTCTGCCTTCACACAGTCTGGCTCTAAAGCTGTTGTACTGCCCCTACACTAATGACTTCCAAATGCAGATCTCTGATCTCGGCTTCTAACCGTGGCTCCAGACTCACAGCTAAAGCACCTAGCTGACATATTCCTATCCCATTAGATTTCTGTTAGACATCTCAAACTTCAAGCACCCACAACTGAGTTACTCCTCCCCCTCCTGCTCCACCCTGCCTCGATGTCCCAGTAACTAGCAGAGATGTGCACACCAGTACCAATATGTGCATAAAGTGTTAGTACCGTTTACTTTTTTAAGTAAATACATATATGGTTCTAACATTTCTTCCTGCACCACGCAGATCCCTGTAAGCACAGTGGAAACCACAGGTTGTCACTGCAAAACCTTCCTAAACGCACCAGGGCCTGAAGTCTGTGAAACGTCGCTGATCTGCCCTGACACTGCCCCACCCCCCAATTCTCCCACGGCCTCCAATCACACTCAAAATGAAATCCGAGGGTGGGGAGGCCACCGTGCTCCGAAGCCTGCCCGCCTCCTCACCCTCCACTCCCACCTGTCACTCTCCATTTGCTCTCTCTGCTCGTCAGACCAGCTTTCCTGTTCTTCCTCCAGCGTACCAAACTGGTTCTCAGTGAGCCTGATCCTGACTCACGGTCTTTGCTGCACTGTTCCCCCTGCCTGGAGGAGTTTTTACAGAATGTTCTTTTTCTTTCAGAACAGCCCTCCCTGACTAATCTACCTAAAACCCCACCGCATCACCCTCTTTCCCCTCACTTCGTTATATTTTTCTCAAAGCACTTGTCACTTCTTCATATTACAGATTTGTTCATTTCCCATCTTCTCCACTAAAATATAAGCTCCACGAAGGTTTATGCAGTCCTGTATTACCAGGGCCTAAAACTGGGCCTCACAAAAATCGGTCTGCAAATAAATATTGATGAACAGACAAATGACTAATGTTTTGTATGTGTGATCCCTTACTAAATATTTCTCAACCCTAGTAACCAAATGTTAGTTAAAACAAAGATCAAATAACTCAAAAATTCTAGACATCTATAGGATGTCAAAAGGGACATTTACATATGACTTTATCTCTGTTCTTATCACCTAACCAATGATCAGGACCAGCACTAAAATAGTACACAGAGAACCTTCTACTGACACTGTTAGAAGGAAGAGATTTCTCCCATGCAGATCTAAAAAAGAAAAGAAAACAAACAAACCAAAGTCCCTAACAATGCAGTTTCGATTTTAGGGAAGAAAATACAAAAGTATACCAGTTGTATTTTAAATAGTTTAAAATAGAATTACTAAATTATCCCATGTTAGCAATCGCAACTAAATTAACTAGGAAACGTAGAGATTAATGCAGCAATCTGCACCATTCTTTAATGTTAAAAACAGCCTTTCTACCCCTTATGTTGGATTATTTTGAGTGAAATAACCAATACCTCAGTCTCAGAGTCCATTCCCATCCACCTCATTAAGTTCTACCCTTCATATGAAGGTGCTGATTGAAAAATAGGTAAGTACGTCGCCCTGCTCTGTGTTCCCCAAGCTCCCTGATAAAATGTCAGCTGTCCTTCCTCCTCATTACGACACTATATATTTACATGTATTTTTCACCCAAGCTTTTATTAGATATCCAGTCCCATCTCTTAAAAGAAGGCGCCTCTTCCTGACCACAGAACCGAGCAGGATTTGTTTCGGTGGATGCTCCCGGCATTTTATACAAATAAGAACCGAATCATTTCACACCCAAAGTGTTGGACCCGCTCAGCTCCCAGACCACCGCAAAAAGCCGCCACCTCCCCTTTCTTGCCAGCGTGAAATCTAAGAGTCACCTGGAACCCTCTCCCTCTTCTCTCCTTACGTGAAGCTGTAACCAAATCTTCCCCTCCTTACCCATTTCTCAAATTAACCCTTTCTGCTCCTCTCGTGTCTGACCCTGACGCCGGACCTGTGGCAAGCTGCTGCAATTTTCTCCAACTTCTTCTACTCGAAGCCCCTCCCTTCTCATCATTTCCGAGCTCTGACATTTTCTACACCCCTTTCTCATCAGGTCTGAACTCTTTATTTTTACCTCAGGCCTCTGTGTGCTGCAGCTTCAGGAGTAAATCCCTTCTACTAACATCTCACTCTCGGGTTTCCGGCTGCTTCCCAAGTCTCACCTCCCTCTCTGTGTGTATACAGCACCTGGACCTTCCTAATTTCACTGTATTTTTTACCTGCCATCCTTCAGAATTCCACACAAGTGTAAGGGGAGACTCATCTGCCCATCATCGGCCTACGAGGGCAGTGGCCACAGGATGACACAAGGGGACAGAGACAGAACCTGAGGACGTCTCACAGACAGAGCTGTGGGCCTGGGAGGGGCAGGTGTGCGAGCAAGTGAATTCTGACAGGTTCAAGAGAGACAGGAGGGAACGGGGTCAGTTCGACTTAGAAGATTTATCCTTAAAACAATATACAGCTAAAGGTCATCTGACATCAACAGGAACAAGCGGTAAAGCTGCAGAGATACCTGAAAGGAAAAGGGCAGAAGCAGCTAAGTTAGACAGTCTTGCTCCCAACTCAAGAAGCAAGGCAATCTTCAGAGAATAAAGGGGTGGAACTAACCTAGAAAATCATCTCAGAAACAGTCAAACAGAACAAGAAGTGTGTATACAGGTAGGTTGGCACGATGACCAACACTGTAAGACAGAAAAGCTGTGTTCTAGAACCATTATGTTGACCTAAATACGTTCTGAGCTTTAATTTTTAAGGAGCTCACTGAGAGCAGGCGCCATATTACATGTGCTGCCCCCCATTTCTCCCCACGGCACATACTACATTACGGGGGTGGAAGATGAGAGATGGTGGCGATTTCTTTGCAAGATGTTTTTAAAAGGCCAGTGAACTGCTAACCTAAGTCATATGACATAAGTAAACACGTTCAGCTCGCACACACACTGACGTTAAAAATTAATCCCGAGAGATGGCTGATCCTCAAAACCAGTGTCACCTGGTGCCTTTTCTTATTTTCTCTTCATTGTGACTAAAACTCAAAGCCGGTCCACAGAAGGGACATGAGCACAGTCTTCGTCACACTTCGGTGCCTTCAGGGGTGTCTATGTAAAACGGGCCAACTGAAGATGGTGAGAACAGTGTCTGACACACAGTAGGTATCCAACAAATATTAACCAGCTATTTTTAATGCTGTTTTCACTGTCCGAATACCGCCAAGTAATGCTAGGGCCCAAAGAATGTGGTTTAGTAACAGCTCCTTGATACAGGAGTATCCAGCCGATTCAAAATCCCAGGAGCAGCTGTTTCCCCATAATCAGACCTGGCAGGAAGGTGGACTCACAGTCTTCGACAGCAG